GACAGAGTTGATGCCCTGCCAAACTCGCGTCTAACAAAGACACCATGAATATAATTTGGGTCTGTCAAAAGAACCCTTAAAACTGTAATTAGGAAAGAACTTATTGATGAGTTTGACGCAAGCAGACAAGTGCAAACAGGCACTAGTCGATCCATAAGTTACTCATGATGAGATGTATCAAGTGAAACATGTATATGGAACAAGTAACAAGATCACTATTACGAGATGTTGTAACCGCTAGATTAAGGTTAGATATAAGTACCTTGGCAGTATGTTCTCAAGCAGATGTAAACAAAATCAAGTCATAAGTGTGTGGCCATACATATGGCCACACTCTGAACACTACGTCCTCGACTGTGTGAAGATAGAACCTCTAGGGACAGGTAGTCCACAATGTGAAATGGCACAACACTTCATCTCTAATGGCAAGATAGCCGACATATTAAGATTGTATCCACTTTTTGCACTTAGTAACTATATCAATTCTCATGTACAGAACCAAATACGCAATGTGCTTGAATACTTCACGTAAATGATAACAAAGTGTGAGGCCAGACATACTGCCTCACACGCCTGTACTCACGCATTTGTGAATAAGTTACCCTTTATGTATAGAACTAAACAAATAATGTAAATGAAATATTGTAACATTCAGTGCCATAATATCCTGACAACGGGGTTAATTATTATGACCCTTTGTAAACCCTACTCTGTAATCCTTGCGCTACCGCTCACAGGATGAGTGTGGGTGACAGTAGCCGCTGTAAGCGGCAAATCAAAATCAAAAATCATCATCACTACATATAACATCATCCGTCATCACTACATATAACACCATCCATCATCACTATAACACTATCCATCATCACTACATATAACACCATCCATCATCACTACATATAACACTATCCATCATCACTACATATAACACCACCCATCATTACTACATATAACAACATCCGTCATCACTACATATAACACCATCCATCATCACACATATAACACTATCCATCATCACTACATATAACATCATCCATCATCACTACATATAACACCATCCATCATCACTACATATAACACTATCCATCATCACTACATATAACATCCATCATCACTACATATAACACTATCCATCATCACTACATATAACACCATCCATCATTACACATATAACACTATCCATCATCACTACATATAACACACACACCACACACACACACACACACACACACACACACACCACACTGGATAGGATACACTACATCATCCAGAGTGTATCACAGCTGAGGGCCAGAAAAGGTCAAGTTTGTCAGTATTCTGCCAAAGTTCAAGTGATATGGACACATTTTCTCTCACTGTTGTGGATTCGGCAACGTAGGAAGAGGAACCAAATCAGGGTACATGAAGTCAACACCAAAGTGCCCGATTTTAGTGTTTTTAGTTATTTGTATCCAGACCTATACTGAACCACCCAGACAAATGTTTATTATTATTATTATTATTATTATTATTATTATTATTATTATTATTATTATTATTATTATTATTATAAAATGACGGTAGAAATTTTTAAGAAATTCGTGCATATGACGATTATTTTTGTTAGTAAAATGGACACTAATTACAGGCGATCAATTGGGGTTGAAGAAAGAATAACCATAATTTTAAAATACGAATTTGAATTTATTAAAAAAACCCAGATTATTATATAATATTAATAAATTATTCTGAAACATTATGTTGAAAAATGAAAATAAAATGTTGGTAACTGGGAAGTAAGAATGAAAAGTTTGGATAATCTGGATAAAGAGGAGCTTACTGTACTAGAAGAACCAAGTGATGGTGACTTCATCGAAAAATCTTGTTGCTGAAACCAATAATTATTCTGAACAGGAGAGACGTGAGAGGGAAAAGGTTCATTCGAAAGGCTTCATGAATTTCAATCCTCATGTCCAATTTGTCAGCAGGCAAGAGTTCATCCAGCTGCATGATACTCTCACCACAAATGATTATCTGTGACTGACGAAGAGATCGGTCTGGCCGTATTCATGACTCGACTCCGTAGATGTGAACAGCTTCTGCAATAATACATACAAATTAAGGTGGGATGGAATGGCGAGTCACGTTTGGTGTGACCGCATTATTAGTGAACTGATCAGCCAGGAGACGGGAAGGCCAACTTCTGCTTGGTCAACTCACGCCCTTTGTGTACCCCGGCTTCCACCTAGAAAGGGCGTTTTCCCTCTATTCCCACATACTGTACAGCGGTGGGTCGTTTTCCGAGGCTGTACTGGTGTCGAGACATCATGAAGCTCCCACGTGGCAAAGGAATTTTCCAGGAAGGGTTCGCTTTGAGGCTTCAGCGTTAATGAAACATCAGCGTGGACAAAATGAGCAAACATTATGCTGGAGCGAAGATGAATACATTGTGAGTGTGGTAAGACTTTGTCGGAGAGAATTTCTCGGGGAACTCCGGATAAGTTTCCTAGTTCCCCTTTGTTTTTGTTTTAAATTTGTTCCTGTTTTATTTTATGGGTCTCCTCGTAAGTGTCAGCGTCACGAAGGATGGAAGTAGTATCCTACCGGTGTACTACTCCCATCCTCACCTATACACGAAGGTGGAATTTGGGGGTTAACCTCAGTGTGCGGCCCCCCACCCTGATTATGGGAGAACCTCCGTCATGAAATAGCATATCTGTCCTTTTTTTTTGTTTCTTTGCTAAGCATGATTTATGTAAATACCCCAAGAATACTCACGAACGTCTCAAGTAAGAGGTAAGATTTGGGCGGGCCGATCCCCTCCTAAAAGTACATGGCCTCTCCTTTGCACGGCCACAGTTTTCAACTATAGAGAGATGGAATTTGGTGAGTTCGTAGTATCTTCACTCCCAAACTCTCAGAACCACTGTCGTTCATCCCTCACAATTGACTGCTGAGAATTACTGACAAAGCTCGTGTCATGTCAGTAGCGGTTAAACATTAAGGCTTTGTAGTATATCTCTTACCCTTCACAAAAGTCACAAGACGAAACATTCAGAGCAAACGTTGGAGACATTTGCCACATTCACTGCTGGATCTTGGACTCGTATTCTTCTTATCAGTAACAGAATATATATTTTTTTTCTCACAATAACTGAGATGTGGTGAAAATGTAAGAAACTGTGAGTAAATGAGTAAGGTAAGTGTAGTTTTCGCCCACTGTTTCTTAGAAGTGTGAGGTGATGTTTCTATTATTAATGTCAAGCTTCTTAACCTACACAGGATGAAACAAATTACTACATTATCTGGTGAATTATGGACATATGTTTGTAAATATGAAACACACTCAATATATGCGATAATACAAACACATGCACAGTTTTAAAGCAAATAAAAAAATAATGACGAAAACAATTTAAAGACTAAAACCAAAGAAGGCCCAAGGTATTAATTAACTTTTAATGAGTACGGTGATTACATACGCATGAGAATTACACTGCTGACGTCATGCACTTTAATGACAATCGTCTTAGTAAACATTAAATTACATTGCAACCATATACAAAATAGGGAAACACCTTGTCATTGTAACTTCACCGAAATGGAACACCACGAAGTATATCATGACGCCATAAATAATAGGATGAGGAGGACACTGAAGGCAGCTCCTGTTATGGAAGATTTAGCTCACAAACAACAGAAGAGGAGCTATAATATAATGGTGGGTCTAGGACAACTGGCCGCCGCCATCTGGCCGCAGCCCAACTGGCCGCGGGAAACTCGCCGCGGCCGACTGGCCGCCATATGGAACTTTTTGTTGCGAGTCTCAGAAACATCCAGAATGATTATATATATATATATATATATATATATATATATATATATATATATATATATATATATATATATATATATATATATATATATATATATATATGCAGGAATAACCACCAGGAAAAGGAAAATACGAAGTGTCAAGCGCTTTCGTATATTACATCTTCAGGACTGAATACAGAATACAACAATCAGTTCTATTATCTAAGTTTCTCTTATTTTATTTTTTAGTACATAGTTTTACTGTTTTTTTGTATGTTGAATTCAGAATTGACTTGTTTTTAATCATTCGCAAATCAATCGTTCGCTGGTGGGGGTTTAAGGAGCTGCCTTGAGAGCGCAAAATTAGGCGTTTGCAGTTTACCCCCAGTCCGCGGCGGCCAGTCGGCCGCGGCGAGTTTCCCGCGGCCAGTTGGGCTGCGGCCAAATGGCGGCGGCCAGTTGTACCATTCCCTATAATGGTGACTACATGTGAAGGTGGCCAGTCTTCCAGGAATGGTCGCCCTCCAGAGGTCATATAAGCTGGTGTTTTCTTTGTATGTTGTCAGTCTCTCTGAATAAGATTATACCAAAAGTCACAAAAATACAAATAGGCGGTGACTTGTTGCTTCCATAACCACCCGTCCTATTTTCATATGTCATGGTGGGTAGGACTTTTTAGACAAAGCAAAGTTAACATAAGTGTCCTTGAACAAAATTAAGGTAGAAACTGTGTTCGTACAAAAGGACATCCCTTCTCCTAATCTAGATGTTCGTAAACATTATCGGGCTAATTACATAAGCATACCAAATTTTAAGTCTCTTTTAAAAACCGTGGCCCTGCATAGCAAAGAAACAGAATCAACTTAATCAAACTCAATTTATTTTTACCTAACTAACTTATTAAATTAATACCCACCCACTGGAGGTGGCCATGCCGAGGGAGGATGCCAGTAGCCTGTGTAAGCCCCTCCATACTCCAGAGGCATTTTGAGACCATTTTGAAGCCATGTGCACTTGATATTAGGAGATATTCTGAGGTCGAGGGTAATTAATTTTTACTATATAAAAACTTCTGAGTATAATACTGCGTTAAAAAAAAGTATTTGAATTTTCTGATTAAAAGGAGGGCCCGGACCCCCCCTCCCCCCCCAGGATGCGCTCTTGGATGAGATAAATAACTTCCGGAGTCTGCTCGGTCAGCAGTCAGCAACCATCGACCGCAGCGCTAGTGTCTCCTCCAGTTGTTATTATTATTAATTGGAGCGATACTAAGAGTTAAGTGGAGCCATAAGCCCGCACAGGTGAGTGAAAGAACACAGTGATTGTTTGTATGATGGTGAAATGTTGTGAACTACATGCTTGCATAGTGTAAGGCAATTTGGATAATAGCCATACAGAATAGAGTGTTTACTAACTGACGTATAATGTATAGATGTAATGGAATGTAATCAGTAGTTAGCGAGTGTCTCACTTCTCCAGGTTTTGACTATATCAATAAACGTTGGGTGAGTCCACGTTAAGGGGTTCTCTCACCCTAAGAAGTGTCTAACCATTCGGCAGTTATAAAAACACTGAACAATAAATAAATTATTATAATGTACAGTATTGCGAAAAATTTCTTAATTCAAATATTTTTTTATTTTGGAAACTAAAACAACAGTATTGTAATATAATTAACTGGCAATATTCCTGATAATTTCATAAAGCAAGGGGCAGACATATTAAATCTACAGTATTGTACTGCCAATTTTTTCTTAATTCTTAATATTCTACTTAAGACATATCTCGCGACACGAGCGTTCTCTCTGTCAATACAATATTCGCACAATACAAATATTCTGTTCTTACACCACTTCCTCTCTATACAAAACCCATGGTACCTAAAGGTAATTTTTCTTTTTGTTTGGGGTTTCTTGTAGTTAGTTACTAAATTACAATAATTAGGTACTGATTTACAGTAGCTGCTAACGGCACACCTTATTTCCTTGGGTGACAAGAAATAAAATAACTCTAAATGGATGTCACTTAGAATATTTCTAGTGAATTTCAAGGCAAGCAAAAGGCAGTAATTATCACATGCCCTTATTTGCACATTGAACAAACTCAAATGGTTAAAAAATATACCATACACCACTATTCAAATACAGTTTTTATTAAGGCCACATATTCATTTCTCAGTGTTGACAAAACTGATTTTTTATAATTTGGTACAGTTCGTGTATGTGGTTAAAAATATATTATGGAGAGTGGGCCCCGCTGAAACTTGCTCCAGTATACTGTAAAAAATAACTTCACTTTTTATTGAACCCGGCAGGGGTAGTGGCGCCTGGAGTTGCAGATATGAGGGTGGTGGTGACCGTCTGGGTGGTGGTGATGGCGGTATGCACGGGATCAAAGGTTAAATTGGTCAACAATGGCTATGACGGCATCGTGATTGGCATCTCGTCTCAGATCGACCAGAGTCAAGGACCTGCCATCATTGCTGCTCTAAAGGTAAGATCTCACACATCTGCTTCCCCTCCTGTAATCAAGAAACGCTAGATACACTGACCCTCTCGGCTCTCTCTGATCATTACCATCACTTCATCTGGAAGTTTGGGGAAAAGATTTTTCATCATCCTCGGGACTGTCACCTGCTCCCACCCGGGATCTCTCGTCCGCGAATTGCTATTCAACCTCTACAACCGCATCCAGCCCGTGTAAGGGTGCAATGTTTCTGTTACCATCCTGACTTTTAATCAGAATATAATATAGAGTATCATTAACATTATAAACGTTTGGGTAGCGTAGCACGCGAGGTCATTGCTCGTGGGATATAACTTGTATTTTGGAAGGCAATTATTAGAAGTCATGAACGGTGATGCACATATTAATACTGTGACTTCTTGAACCATCAATCACAACGACAGGAACTTCATTTAGGTTCAATTAATACCGGGTAACTTTACTCAGAAAATATAAAATGACCAATAGGTCTTACTTTATGGTGAGAAAATAGATGTTTTAATGAAGTTACCACATACAATAAGGGTACCAACTTAAGGGTAATATTACACAACAGTGACACCAGAATGATTGTCACTCTAAACATTTTACAATGGCATCTAGTGATGTTATTACTTATAGCATCGACTTTTTTTTTACGGGGATCAGCCCACCCGGGCACAGGTCACTGACCCACATCAAGGCCTGGGGGACGGATATATAATAATAATAATAATAATAATGATAATAATAATAATAATAATATCTATTATTATTATTATTATAATAATTCATAAAAAAATAATAACAAAATACATGTACTAAAAATAAAAGTAATATACTAAAAAAAATAATAATAACCATAAATAAATGCAAAAACGAAAAAATAAATCAAGTATGAGAAACGATATACATTATGTATGATGTGTGTCAGAGTAAGAGAAACAATTGAGACCCTGCAACTGTGTGTAAATGAGGCAGAAAGTCAGATCAGCAACCTGGGACTTGGTCACAATTTTCGTGATGCCATATGGCAGCAGGATCTACCATTAGACAACACATTATGCTTCCAATATCTTCCCAGGCGGTAGTACCTCCCTGTTTGATAGCTGCCTACTACCTACTACCTATCATGCTACACACAGTGTCTGTCATGCTCGGGAGTACGTTCAGAATCATAAACAAACTTTCGTTGGTCGGTTAGTCCCCGTCACTCGAAGGTATGAATGATTATACTATGATATAATTCTTAATTAAATTAGCAGTTACTTAATTCATTAAATAATAGCCTTATGTAACAAAATACAAAGGACTACTGGGACAACATAGTTAACTTACCACCACACACACAACCGTATACAGCTCCCATCACATTACTTTTATCTGTCCTGCCAGTATAAGTGATGAACTTTAAGCATTTAGGCTGTCCAGAACATACTAGTGTCTGCCTGTCCATATGGTCCTCACACTGAAGGCTGCCACTATGCGAGTGCTACACAACAACAACCTATGGACTTGCACTTGAAGGTCAATCATGGATATAGTTTCCAGAAGGAGCACTGTAGTTCTGTAAGATGTAGTTTGTTTTGACAATGAACTGTGCATTCACTGTAAAAATATTCCTTACATTGCATCAATTTTTTTTTGCTTTGAGGAATCTATAGATTTTGTGCTTGCTTACTCTATGCAGACCATGATTTTATTTAACGCGTTATACAACAGAAACTGAGAGTGAAGGCACATAGTGGCAAACACTTTCCAGGACAACAAATTTATACATAACAAATAGAAAGGACACAGAAGCTCTGCCTAAAGGTCAGCTTCCTATAGTAACTGATGCTGTGTGAGACAGTCTTCTGGTAGCCATCAGACCTTCTCACATGTTCTACCAAACCAGGTTACTGAAGAGTTTGGCCTTACGAATGACGTGTTGTGTGCTACACCTCAAGCATTCTATACTTTTCGGAGATATTGACATTCAAAAAATGTAAAAAGTAAATAAATAACGCCATTTGACCATAATAAGCTTACAATACTAACATTGGTAAACACTGGAAGCAGTAGGTAATCCTGCCTAATAGTGCTTCACTGAGCTGTGAGAAAACGCTCACAGGTGCGACATCTTTAGGTAAAAGCGGAAAAAACAACATTAAAATACTGAATTATTAATCGCTAGTAACTCAAGTGTTTTTATGTTCAGTGATATTTTTTATTTATTTTTGGAACTTAATGTACTTACTGCTTTATTTAATTTTATGCATCATATTGTTTTTTCTTTTATGCTATTGTATATTATTTAACGTTTTAGTTCTCATGACGACGAGAGATACTGTCTAAACCTTACCGAATACATATATTGCTGTTTATCCATACGCTGGTGCTATTATTCATCTTATATAGGCCTATGAATATATTCGGAATGCTTCGTTGTCTTATTTACTTTTGAAAATGTATAACCGGGATGGCTGTTATTTGTTGTTTTCTAGCTTTTACTAATTTTGTTTATGTGGAAGCCTCTTATATTAATTAAGAACAGCTGCACTTCGTAGATTAGTATTTGCTACAGTGTGTTTTTGGTGATGTTGTTGCAAAATCTAAGGAACAAATATTCTCTTAATCTGCTGATCCCGTTACATTAGAGTTAAAAGTTTGGGTCCCAGAGTTTTCTTCTACAAGAGAGCCTGTAAGAAAAGAGTTGGCCTTTAAGATTTAAGAGTAATGATAAGTTGGAATCTTAAGCCAAAGAAACAATGTGTATTTGCTGGACACAAAGCTAATAAAGTACTTGGGTTCATACAAAGGAGTGTTAGTTACAAGACTAGCGAGGTCACCCTAAAACTATATCTTGCGCTTGTGAGACCTCACTTGGATTACGCAGTTCAATTCTGGTAACCGTATTACATAATGGATAGAGAATCCTTAGAACGAATTCGGAGGAGAATGACAAGACTAATCCCGGGCATTAGGAACCTTGAGTACAGAAACAGGTTAAAGCATCTTAATTTGCACTCCCTCAAGAGACGTAGCGTGAGGGCCGATATGATAGAGGTGCATAAATGGAAGTCAGGGCTGAACAAAGGGGACATTACAAAGGTACTCAAACTATCCAACCAGGAGCGAACTCGTAACAATGGTTTTAAATTAGACAAATTTAGATTTAGGCGCGAAATAGGTAAACATTGGTTTGGTAATAGAGTAGTGGACGAGTGGAACAAGTTACCAAATATCATCATTAACTCGAATACGCTGGATAGCTTCAAACATAGGTTGGGACTGCCCAGCATGGGCTCATAGGCCCGCTGCAGTTTCCTCCATTCTAATGTTCTTATTATATTTGTCACTATTTTTTCTTGCTGCTCATATGATCTATTTGTAATGGAGGATTAAAATTTCAGGATATGGTAAAGGAAGGTTCAGAGCATTTGTTTAGAGCGACGCGGAGGAGAGCCTTCTTCAGACACGTTAAACTCCTCATACCACAATCCTGGAACAACACCGACTATGACCATCCGGCCACCGTACAAACATATCAGGTGATGTTTACACTGCCTCAACATTGTCACAATACTAATATGTTAGGTTTAATATTAAGTCATTCCCTCGTATATAACTTTTCCCACTATCAATGACATTCCATATACAGGGAATCTTAATAAAGGTGTCAGTTATCAAGTTTGCGTGTTTATATGAATTTTTTTTATTTTCAGCAAACCAAAGATCTGAAATTATAAGTGTTATTGAAGTTGGAGAGAAGGAATTTCCATTGACTTACTTTTCTCTATGTCTTTTTATTCTTTACAAAAGAACATACGAAAATGAGGAGTCTGCAATAGGCCAGTTGGCCTATGCATGGCAGCTCCTGGCGAGAGTTACTACCACTCTCTATCATCCATGAATCGATCTAGCCTCCTTTTAAAACTTTCCAGCGTTCCAGTACTTACTACAAAGTTGCTAAGCTTGTTCCACTCGTCCACCACCTTATTTGTGAAACAGTTTCTTCCTATCTCCCTCCTAAACCTAAACTTATCCAACTTAAATGCGTTGCTACGAGTCCTATCCTGCTCGGATATTATAAGAACTTTATATATATCTCCTTTATTGATTCATTTCACCCACTTAAATACTTCTATCATATCTCCCCGCACTCTACGTCTTTCTAGGGAATGCAAGTTTAGTTTCTTTAATCTATCTTGATATGGAAGGTTTCTTAATCTATAGTGGTATGGAAGGTTTCTAAGTCCGGACTAGAGCAAAATATAGTTGCAATTTGACCTCTGCACTCCTATTACTTACACTTCTAGATATAAAACCTAATACTCTGTTTGCCTTATTTCGAACATTAACTTACTGTTTTCTAGGCCGTAGTTCCGGGCTTACAAGTATCCTTTAGTCCCTTTCACAAGTCGACTGCTCTAGGTTGATGTTGCTAAGGCTGTATACATTGACAGTATTTGTTCTACCAGTATTAAGTACACTGCACTTGCTGGTGTTGAATTTCATTTGCCATTTTTCTGACCACTCCTGCAGTGTATTTAAATCCTCCTGTAGTGCATTTGCATCCTTCCCTGAATTAATCTGCCGCCCTATTTTGGTGTCATCCGCAAACTTGCTTATGTCACTGCTGATCCCAGTATCTAGATCGTTTTTGTAGATTATGAACAAGAGTGGGCCTAGTACTGACCCCTGGGGAACCCTACCGATTACACAACCCCACTCAGATTTAACACCATCTACGCTGACCCTCTGTGTTCTATCGGTGAGCCATGATTTTATCCAATTTAAAACTTTCCCCCTTGATACCGTGAGCCTTAACTTTTCTCAGAAGCCTCTGATGCAGTACTCTGTCAAACGCTTTGCTAAAGTCTAAGTAAGTAACATCGTAATTTTCATCATTATTTACTACATCGAAGACTTTCCTAAAAAAACGTCAGCAGATTTCTTAAACAAGATTCTCCCTTTGTAAACCCATGTTGAGAGTCGTAGATTAATTTGTTTTTCTCTAAATGCGATCGGATGCTATTTGCTATAATTCATTCAAGAAATTTCCCTACTAATGACGTCAAACTAATCGGCCGGTAATTTGACGCTGATGCTCTGTCACCCTTTTTGAATATGGGTACTACATTTGCTTGTTTCCACAAGTCTGGCACAACTCCCGTTCTAATGATTTTGTAAATAAATTTACAAGGGGTCCGCTCATCTGTTCCCTACACTCTTTCAAGACTCGAGGGAAAATTTCATCGGGCCCTGGGGATTTTGTCTTCTTTAATTTATTTATCTTCTTAAGAACATCCTCTTTTCTGATAGTGGTATTCTTTAATTTCACTTCTTCAGTTCCCCTAAATATCATTTCCACCTCTGGAATTTCCTCGTGAATTTCTTCTGTGAAAACTGATAAGAAGTAGCTATTCAATGCTTTGCTTATTTTCTCACTATCATTGATCACTTCCCCTCTCTCTGACTTTAAAGGTCCCACTTTGTCCTTGACCTTTATCCTATATACCTGGAAAAATCCCTTGGGATTCGCCTTGGATTCTCTTGCTATTTTGATTTCATAGTCTCTCTTTGCCTTCCTTACATTTTTCTTAACATTCCTAGATAGTTCATTATACCTATTTCTGAGCTGCTCCTCCCCTCCGTTTAATTTCTTATATATTCCTTTCTTTATTCCTATGTCATGTTTAAGTTTTCTGGTCATCCACCTTGGCTCATTCTTATTCAACCTAATTTTTCTGTATAGTATATTTTGTTCCTGTGCTTTACGTAGTATACTAGTGAATATATTATAGTCATGATCAATTGTTGTGTCGCCGGTGACCTCACCCGTTCCTACCTGGGACTGACCTGACTGTTCCCATTTTCTGTTTCTCTAATTTTTATTCTTTAATTCCTTTGTTCTCTTTTCTTAATCTTAATCTTCTTTCGTATACAGAATGAGGTCGGGAAGTGGAGGAGTGAGGCGAGTGAGGTGAGGGTTCCCTGTGGACAGTCTGTGTTTCGCCCCTAGTGACCGACAGGAGGGGTGAATGGGGGAAGAGGGAGAGAATGATAACCGGGGGATAAGGATAGTATGTAACTTAGACACTCGTGGAAACATGTGATAGTTATGTTGGTACTCATGGGTCACTGTATACCACATAGACACTTATGAAGAACACTCTAGTCCATACACAGGGGAAGGGAATTGAAAACTATTCTAAACGGTTCTTCGTTTATTGACGTTATCAAGAATGGAAAATTACACTTCGAACAATAACCTGCACTCCTAGCTAATTTAAAAACGAAGGGGGGGGGGGAGGGGGGGGCAGGGCATGTATCTCACAACAAATGGGAACTTCAGGAATTATTAAGTAAAGTACACGCAATTTACCTGCCATGCCGCCCAGCAGACACCACCACACCTCTCTACACAAAACTCTAATTCAGACTGTCCCTTTGAAAATTGGACACACTCGTCTAGGTAGTTTTTGGCCACTCACTCCCCTGTGTATATGACGTCACACTCGCAGGTCACTGTGATTGGCTTACGCCTAAGGCACACTCAGGGCACTGTTAGCTTGGCGGGCGGTAGGCAGGACCCTTGTTTCTTAACTGAATTTCCATACAGATTTTCTCTAAAGCATAACTTAATTTATTCTAAACACAGCACTGTTACAGCTTGCCGGGCCGATCCCGCGCACTCTCGTTCCTCCCAGCAGTAAATGGGAAGAGGTCGAATGCCGTGCCGGTTATGCTGCCTCCCTGCCTATCGAAGGCAAGTGCGGAAGTTCCACCAATCTGACGAATTTGTAGTGTAAGTCACAACGTTCTATTAATGTCCCCCAAGTTTCACCAAAGGATTGAAGATGTTTGGAACGACTCGGTATCGCTGAGAAGGAGAGTTTTGGTATATTCATCCCAGACAGTCAAACGGTAGTACACACCAAGTTTACGTGTTACTACAAGTCACTATCAGCTGATGATGCTAATACTCTTTTTGTGTATTGTTCAACACAGGAGAGCGAGATTCGTGTAGATTTACAACATCATCCCTATTACAACCAGCCATACACGAAGCAGCCGGGAAAATGTGGAAGTCCTGGCCTGCATATTCACCTCACCCCAGACTACCTTACTGAGGAGAAGTATCAGTCGTGGTGGGGTAAACCAGGTCAGTCATGAGTTACTAGTACTCTCTTACCTAACCTAACCTAACCTAACCTAACTTAACCTAACCTAAGTCATTCTCTTACTGGAACTTATAACGTTAATAATAGCAGAGAAACTATTGGGACTTTGATGACTGATGGTAACAAGGTAAGGTATTAGTGTCCCGGGCTGGTCGTTATAAGAACATCGTATGTTATTACCAGATGACCGCCATAACGTGACACTAAAACCACCACATTGTCCTCTGCTATTAATTGTTCTAAATCACTAATCTCCTTAATTAATTTTTGTTAAAATTCATGGCCACTATCCTTCACTTTGGATAAAAATTAACCTAAAATAATGTTTATCAAACTCGTCTATGACCACTGGTGTCTGGGACGACTGGGGACGATAAGAACATCCGGAGTACCGCACTTTTTGTAGCGGTTCCTGTGTTTCTCCTGCTTACGTTAATTGGACCACAAGTGATTTTCAGACTTTTTATTTTATATAGTGATGAAATATATACAGCTACTACCTTTAAGAATAACACCATCTAATTATTCCCTGACAGGTAAATCCTTGGTGCCACTATGGGCGAAACTACGGTGGGGAGTGTTTGATGAATTAGGCTACCCTAACGATCCGATATATCCTTCATTCTACTACCTGGCAAACGAAGAAAAGTTTGGCGATAAAAATTTGTCCTACGCTCCGTCTTACTGTGCCAACGCTGAAATAACAGGGTTTATGAGGTAAGATTGATCAGTGTTTTATAAAGAGATTTAAACTGTAAGTGAACTGATTGAAGGAGTCGTTTATTACTATATATCAGATATTAAATCATCATTTATCAAGTATAAATCATGGAATGTCGAGTGGTGGAGTGAACTACGTAGATACACAATAATCTCCTGTAAGTAACCAGTGTGAAGGTATCGAACTCTACGGTAAGAAATAAGAAACACAACATATTATAATCGTTATATAATATAATCCACTCATACTACCACCGGTATACCAAAACCATGACACTATTATGGTTAAGTAGACGAACCTATACAGCACACGACCACAAAGTTTGAGAATTTGATATGTGAGAGAGAGAGAGAGAGAGAGAGAGAGAGAGAGAGAGAGAGAGAGAGAGAGAGAGAGGAATAGATGTTAATTAGACGCATAATTTGTTAAATTTTCGCTCATTGCCTTGAAGATAAATCAGATAAATTGCTTTATTGTCACAATGGTTACCTGTATTAAGTGAAGATACATGACTGGATGTCCACACTCATGTATGTATCATTCAGCTAGGTGTTCTAAACTGCTTACGCATTAATGCTCTCGATTTTTTTTGTAGATAAAACGCTTTTTTCGTGAACTACTGCACACAATAGTGGCGTCACATCTACAGGTATTCTGCACATAAAACTATGGTTCTTTTCAGGAAAAAAAACACCATCAAAGGAGTAGGAAAATGGGAGTGTGTTAAAGGGAAGGACAACCTGCCTGAACAGGACTGCAGGTTCTTTGCCGACAAGGTACAGGCAGCCAATTCTTCTCTTCTGTCGTACCCCTTCATCTCAAGTGACAGTGTGAGTACCTTAGTCATCGTTCAGTGTGTGTGTGTGTGTGTGTGTGTGTGTGCACGCTTCATGTACCTTCAAGCTTAGGAAGGAAACTCTTTGATTCATAAAATTTTTTTTGTTTACCAGGTTGTAGAGTTCTGCGACGAGACGACCCATCTTCGTAATGTCCCCAACAAACAAAACGTCATGTGTCGTGGTCAGTCTGTATGGAAAGTGATGCTGCAACACGACGACTTCAAGAATGCGTATGTTTACCGCAAAATTTTATCATTTTACAATCATATAACAGACAGGAACATAGGATGCTGATGGCACTGATAAAAGAATGTAGACATTAATACTGGTTAGGGTGGGTCAGGATGGGGCGCACACACACACACACACACACACACACACACACACACACACACCTTACTTCCCCAGGTTGTCTTCCCTTACTATGATTGAACCATTTCAAGTGTTTAACAGGAACCCAGCCCGCGATGCCCCGCCAGAAGACCCGGTGATCACTGTGATAAAGGGAGTGTACCCGAGTTATGCCGTCGTCATGGACTATTCAAACAGCATGAGATCAAAAAACCGTATTGGGACCCTGCAGAGGAGTGTCAGGAGATGGTTACTCTACACGGTGCCTACCAACAGCTTTGTGTCATTGATAAGATTCTCGTATGTATAACTCATATATGAAGTTAACATAAGCCGGTAACAGTATTACAGCTGGTGGAGCAAAGAGCTACCTGAAGTTGCATCCCCCCTCCCTCCTTCCTCACCTCCTAACCTCACTTGGATATCATATAATCAATATTGAATTACTCAACTCTTTTCTTGTTCCTCTAAATAGAGTAAGGCCATATTACCATTATTATTGTCTTTTCATCATAATCTTCCTGTGTGCAGGCGTGAAGACCCAATTCATAACATTATTATTATTATTATTATTATTATTATTATTATCATTATTACTACTAACCCTAAACAAGATACTGTACGAGTCCTATGAATATTTCTTTTCAACAATATTTTGATCTGCATATTAACCCAGCATTTCTTCACAATAAAAGGTTTACATAATGTCATAGAGTCTCGTGAACTACATCGTTATGTCATCTAACGACAAAATGCTGAACTGACGACAAGTTTAGCCAATAAAAAAACAAAAACAAAATCAGTGCAGGAATATTAAACCAAGAGAGAAGAGTTGTTGTGTTGAGCCTGGAAGATGCCATCACCAGGTAGCTAGTTGGAGTTCATCTTCCTATGACTCACTATTGGATAAATCAGTGAGGCAGCTCAATTGGCCGATAGATGGCCGAATCATATAGCTGTTGTGACATTACGAACGTAGCATAATGACAAATTGTGGTAACATATTTGACGACCACATTCCTCGCCAGAAGACCACTTTAGCTCTACATTGTAAAGAAATACCTCAGAGCATGCTTCACTTACTCCGGATAATGTTTGATGTTAGAAGTATGAAGAATTAAGAGAGAGAGAGAGAGATTATCACAAGACGAAGATATATTGCTTGTTCTTAACGTTCTTCCTTCCATGCAGGAGCGGGCCGGCCATATTGTTGACTCCTCTCACCAAGATCACAGACATGCAGTCGAGAAGGAACCTCGCATCCAAAATTGACAAAAACATTAGTGGCGGTACCAGCATCATCAGTGGCCTTCAGAAAGCTAAGGAGGCAAGGCACCTAACCCAAATAGATTCTGTGCGATCGATTTTATTAGTATGCTCCATCTGCTTTTGAGTAGTGATTGACACATATACATAAATCATAATCAAACAGGAAAATGTGGATATATGGGGAAGAATATTGAATCCTGGAGAACACAAGAACAGGAGATGTATCCAGTCAGATTTAGAGACAACAGCTTACGTATCATTAATTACCATGGAGCTGTGATGTTTAAACGAAACTCTTATATATTCACACATTCTTCTATCAATTACTTTACAGGTATTAAGGCAATGATTTGTATTATAGTCCTTTATGCTCGTATGTATCAGCGACTGTGGTATAGAGCTGTCAAACTGTTATTGTTCCTCGTTTACTTCAAAAACTTCCTCATAGGTTCCCGCATTAGTGTAAATGATATATATTTATTCTGTAAAATCATCATACAAGTTCAGGTGTGAGGTAGAGCGTGGGAGTGTCTGTGGATCGGAGGAGTGATGACAAATTTAGATACACAAAGACGGACAAAAAATTTGGTTCTTGCCAGAAACTCTAGAGAAATATTTTTAAAAGTTGATACAAACATCTTCAGTTTAATCCGTAGACAAATATTGTAGTTGACTAATGCCACCGTGAATCTCTGAACAGGTGTTGAATGGTACGGAAGGTAATAAGAATATTTTCCTCATTACTGACGGAGAAGATGACTATGATGACCCCGAGAGCTTCATTGACGATCTGCTTCAGGCGAACATTTGCGTCATGACAGTCGCTTTGGGGTGAGTTAATTTTATTTTTTTCATATCTTCTAATGCATTATTTTATATCACTAACCCTCGGTGTATACTTACAATTCTATCGGCATATGAACGTGGTCACACTTACACCCGACATAATTATGGATGTGATATTTCCAGAGCAGATAGAACTAGCTTTTAGATCTTTGTAAAAACGCCATTTTAAGAGGACCCCTCAACGAAGGTCGACAATCCACATGCTTCGCTCATACGGAGGAGGATATGTTTATGTATCTAACAAGTGTACTCGGACGGTTTATGTACACACACACAAAATCTATCTCCCACCTGGCTCCGGTGTTTGGGAATGAACACAATGTACAGCAGTTTCGGTTGGGTTGGTATTTCTGAATGAGAGTTGCACCTGATAACAACACCGGACCCAGGTGGGCAGATGTTTCGTCTGTCTGTGTGTGTGTAGTAATTGGAAATATTAGAATAAGATGTTGTCCTCTTAGGAAGTTTCACACTGATTAGTTTTAATAACACATTAAAACATAGAAATAATGAACGCAAAGCAATTAGTAATATTTTAATTTACGTAAGTCGAGAATATCATGGAAGGTGACCAAAATTTTTCGGTAGTAAACAACATTCTAAAAGGCTCAAACCGTGGCCAGTTATTCCTGAAATGACACATGGAATATAGTTTTGACTCATAAAAATCTTTTTTAAGTCATCAAACGATAATGGTATTTCATGCCCCATGTTTTATGGTGCGGGCATAAACAAGATGATATTTTAGATTTTAACCAACGACGAGAAGTTAACAGTTAACGATAGTTCATTACGCAACACCGATGCTGTCAGCAACCTAGGGTGCGTTCAGTTGTGTAACTTGTAACGATCGTAGTACTGTACTACTTTTTCAACAGAACGGCAGCGTACTCGGCGATTCCAAGCTTTCGTAGCGCCACGGTGGGCAGCCCCGTAGTGCTGAGATGTTTATAAACAAGAAAGATGGCGACTAGAGGTGAAACATATCGTTGCTGCCTTTTGGATAATTTTAAATAATTATGCCGACTATTTAGGCATGATTTTTTTCAATGGAGTTATTCATGCTGATTACAGACAGCGATTTATTTGAAAGTTTGGAAAAATGTTTAGTTATTTAATTCGAGCACTGCCACCCTCACGCCGTGATAAGGCGTAACCTAGTAACCTCCCAGGTTTGTTTATGTAGTGCACGATGACATCACAACTGTTCAGTGTGCCCATAACACCCCACGAATTCCTGTGGCCTATATAGCGAGCAACTGAACACAGTTCAGGCCACCGCTGTTGCCTCATTTTGTTTGTGAAAATTTTCAGTGTTACATCATCACAGCTAGGGGGCGTAACTCACAAAAACATTCCTGGCATGATTAATTATAACACACTTGCTTTTGGTCTAAACAAAACCCTATTTCTCAATGAAGTGCAATCATTACTTCGTGATGTTATTTTGATCAGGGGTGAACAATAATGTGATGTAAAAAAGTCCGCCCCTTCATTACTAAACCGAGTTATTAATTCTAGTGTTGTGCCGTCTATATCACCTCTCAGCTGGACCACTTCCTCCGGTTAATATGTACAGTACCGTAGACCCGATGTTTGTGCTCTCGTGGCGTTATACAGGAACACACTATAAACAATAACTGATGTTGCTTAATTTTTATATACACATCATAATTTAACCCGAATCAATAAACAAAAGTTTACAAAATATTAAGCGCATGTTGAAAAAGTTTCACAGAATTTGACCATGCAGGAAGGAAGCCGACTCGAGGCTGGAGTCTCTTTCTGACAAAACGGGCTGTAAGTCTTACGTCGTCAATGACAACGACCAGACCAGGATGATGAACAGTGCCTTTGAGGCCACACTCGTCCGTATGCCTGTTAGTGCTGCCTACTCTCTTAACACTAAGGTGAGGTTTTCCTTTGATTCTGTCAGCTCTGTTCCTTCAATCACACGCTTTTGTCAAATAATTTTAAGGTTAGCTCACCCGGTGTTCCATCAATAACCTTATATTTTTTTTATATATTTTTCGATTTTCTGATAAACAATAAAACCAACTAAACTTCTTGTTTGATCACAACAGTATCGTTACAGTCTGACTCTATATTCATCATCAGACGACTACGAAACAAAACCCTACACTGCGTAAGAACTCAGCTGTGTAATATACATGACATCAGTACAAGACATTGGTAAACATAAAAATAAATAAACCTGAAGTAAAGACTAAACAATGTCATCAGTAAACTTAGAAATATGACAACAGGAAATGACAAGAGCTTTGTGAACATCAACTATCAAGACTACAGGAAACGTACTTTAGAAACATAGAAGGTTTGAGGCAGTCTCACTGCTTACTAAGGAAAGTTTTTCCTCAATAGTCAACAGACCCCATACCAGGAGTTGTGTAATGTTGGTGACGGTGGTGGGAATTGTAAATGAGTAGACGTGTGTGGGGAGATCAGCGTTATGCACATGGGGCTCATTGATGGATCACTTAGGTGCCGATTATAGTAGTAGCATCGGTATTTATAGACTACAGATGCCTATAAGTCCTTAGTAATAACATCTTTGAACTTAAAGAAACTGCCACTAGTGCGCGACTGGTCCTAAATATGATACAACTGTGCAGTACTCTGAAATTGGGGATGAAGGTCATTAAGTAATTTAGTTACTTTTTTCAGTGAAACCTGTTGTGACCTGCAAAGGCTATCAGACAATATGCTTCAGTTTAATAACAAAGGGTATTTGTTGTTTGGGTTGCCTCAGAGGTTTAGTAAGCCTTAACCAAGTTATGTGTTATGTGTTAAAATCTGACACTAAATCCATTTAGTGACATGTGATGTTTCAAAAACTGGAATTCCAATGGAGTGAAGCAAAATTTGGACAGATTTAATACTCTGGTGACTATATGATGATTTCTCTTATAACTTTCTGGGATAAATGTGGGAAAACTTGGTAGTTAAGTTAGTAACGGAAAGTTTATTGTATACAGAGGCAGAAAACGAAACATTAGTGAGATCTAACAATGTATCAAGGAAGGACAGTTTACCAATAGTCTCCTGATCAGACGTGAATTCTGTTAAAGTGCTTTGAATTTTAATTTAAGAATTTATGAATGTACACTTGGAATCTGAAAGTTAACTGTCATCCACATACAGACAACAAAATAAGGAATTGAAACCAAAGGGACAATCATCTAACCATCGTCTATTATAATTCGCCAAAAATGCCTTTGCCAATGTGGGGTCATGTATGGTTTTGTTCTGTAGTTTTGCCTGCTGATGGAGATAGACCATCAAAAAAAACATGGACTTCCAACAGATGTATATTTCACTCAAACAGGAAAATCCATAGTATATAATGTCCTTCTTTCTAAAACTCTAATGATATTGTACAGGTCAGTTAGCTCGTCGTATAATTGTCAAAATTTTTTCATTATTCTTCCTCCACACTTAATCTTATGTGTCAGACGGTCTTGATAATGAAGTTGTTATTTCAGTTCTACGAGTCTTCCAAATATAAGACCACAAACCTTACAGTAGGAAATTCTTTCAAAGTGGATAAAACTATTGGGAGGAACATGGTCTTTCACCTGGAGACAGACAAAATAGATCACGTCATTGGGACACCCAGTTTAATAGACCCTCAGGGCAACGTCATTTATGCAAAGGATGCTGAAGGCCTCACCATGACATGGACCATCACTGTTCTCCTTGCTGAGGTAAGCAGTGTGTGTGTGTGTGTGTGTGTGTGTTCACACACAGGGGGATGAAATGCGTCTAGTGTGGCAGTATTATGTTAGTGTTAAGGTGTAAGCACTGCTTGCTCCGTCTCGCTTTCAGCTACCGCCACTGGCTAGCCCTTGTGGCGAACAGGGAACAGACTCGTGACCTGCATATAGCTTTCATCAACCTAACGAAGACCTTCGACTCAGTCAACAGGGAAGCCCTCTGGTGGACCATCAGCCGTTTTGGCTGCCCATCAAAATTAATCGCCATTATGAGGGAACTCCACGATGGCATGAACAGCAGTATCCTGCACCCAGTCTGAGTTCTTCCCCATCCAAACGGAGGTTAAACAAGGGTGTGTACTGGCACCAACTCTCTTTTCCATTTTCTTGGCTGCCTTCCTTACTCGTGTCAGTGCCAATTTAGCCAGCGGGTCTTTTCAACATAAGACGACTACAGGCAGGAACAAAGGTATCGACAGCTTCCATTAGTGAGCTTCAGTATGCAGACGACCCCACCCTTGTCGTTCACTGACCACAACCTACAGGAGATCCTGATTGCCTACGCAGATGCGTATGTACACTTCGGCCTTGAGGTAAATGTACAATGAAAGACAAAAGTCGTGTCGTGAAATTTGGTGAAAACATATGTCAAAGGGTCAAAAATTTTGGTGTGCTCTGCCTTGTGGTAGAGCTCTCATAATGTTTCACGAGTTATATTTAATCTTCGGACAAAACCGCGATACGACTTTTGTCTTTGATTGTACATAAGACTCAAATTCTCTTTGAGCCTGCCCCTGGTTCAGACACACCTCCACCATCCATCCAGCTTAACGGTACTACCCTCTCTAATGTTACCCAATTTCGATATCTCGGCTTCCACCTGTCCACCACCGCGGACATTGATGAAGAGAATGAACATCGGATCAGATGTGCATCTCAAGCCTTTGGCAGACCCCGAAACCGTGTCTTCAGCTGTAGAGAGCTGAAATTATCGACAAAGCTTCACGTATATCGAGCAGTGGTCCTCCCCACCCTGCTATATGGTAGCGAGGCATGGGTCACATACAGGAGACACCTCAAGGCATTTGAAACCTTTACCAACGTAGTCTACGTTCCATCATCCGAGTTCGTTGGGAAGACGAGGGAACAAATGCCAATATTCTTGCTGACACCAACTGTAGGAGCATCGAGGCTACCATTATCCACGAACAACTACGCTGGACTGGCCATGTTACCTGCATGGACGACAGTAGACTACCAAAGCAGCTACTTTACAGTCACCTAACGAATATTAAACGTAACGCTGGCGAACAAATGAAATGGTATAAGGATTGTCTTAAAACAAACCTGAAAAAGTGCCAAATCGCCCTCCTCACCTGGGAGACGATTATTCCACACCGTAACGCTTGGAGGAGCACCACACAAGAAGGCGTCAATACTTTCGAATTTGCCCGACTGCATAACGAGGCAGATAAGCGCCAACGCCGGAAAGACGCTGCTTGCCCCCCCCCCCCTCCACATGTGCAACATCTGTGAACAACTGTGCCGGTCCCGTATCGGCCTCTTTAGTCACCTCAGAACTCACCAACCTAGGTGATATCCTTAACTCATATCATTGTATCATAGCTGGATGATCGTCATACTCGATTCCGAGTGACAGCAAAGTAGTAGTTGTAGAGAGAGAGTGAGTGTGTGTGTGTGTGTGTGTGTGTGTGTGTGTGTGTGTGTGTGTGTGTGTGACCAGCCTTAAATTTTGTATTTTAAATGTAATACTATATATATATATATATATATATATATATATATATATATATATATATATATATATATATATATATATATATATATATATATATATATTTGCTTTTTGAATTACTCGTGTTGTTTACACGAATTACATCTGATCTAACCAGCTGTCTAATAACAATGCATGATGTCTAGCCTGCCAACCTGCAACCATTGCATAAGAACAGAAAGCACAGAATAATGTTTCGTATTATCACATTACATCAAAGACAACTTCATTAAGCTTTACAGTGGATTTAACTATTAAATAAAGGTGTTAATACTGATTTTCGAGCATTTACCAAGTATTCTTAGCATGAATGTACGGGTAAAATGTTATTTTGATCTGAGAAGCTCTTCCTGATGGATGATACTATTAAGGAGTTTATATGATCGTGCCACAAAACAAAACAAAAACAAATGGAAGATAAATTACATAAACTGTTAACGTCGCTTGGTGAGTCACTCGTGGCCACAATGACTGTATGAGGTAACATCAGAGTTACTGCCTCGAACTCATCAAATAATATTTTTTAGACACAGTTCCCTTCAACAGGTTGGAGAATGGAGATGGGAAGTTCAACTGGACGGAGACAAATCACACTGGGTGCAGGCGTTTGTCACCAGTCATTTGCGGGATTCCTCAACACAACCTATCACAGTGACTCCTTGGGTAAGGTATATCAGACACTAGGTCCAACCACTCAACACTTTTATGAACAAGACTTTTTGTATTTGTTAGATTAATTAATGACCATGGAAGGTAAAACAAAATATCCATTGTCACTAACTGGGAAATATTTGAGTTCTCTCTTAAAATGACATTCAAACAACAATGACGTTACAGTAATATGACATCACAGAATTACAACACAGACGTACAGTACGTTAATGACTTATGGCAGAACTCTTGAGTAAAAGTCACATGTTATTAAGTGGTACTAAAGTGCTGAACCGTCTCTAACATCAACATGAACCAACCACACCTAGCCTTACCTAACCTAACCTAACCTAGTGGTATGTGGCAATGTCGTGATGATATATAGACGAAGAAAGGTATTGTAACAGGCAGGACAGTAACTTTGTGTATACAGAATGTGTGTGCATGTGCGAGTGTGTTTTTTTTTCTAATTGAGTGTGTTTGTACAGTCTCACCCAAAAGTTGGTTAACTCTCCCAGCCAGCTATTGCTGCACTGCCTGCTTCAGATGTTTGGAACTGTCTCGGTACCAACCAAAACATGGAACCGATACGAATGAATCTAAAGGTTCGAAGTAACAGACTCAAGTTCATACATCTGAAGCAGGCAGTGCAGCAATAGCTGGATGGGAGAGTTAACCAACTTTTGGGTGAGACTGTACCTACTTTGTTTAGATACGAGTGTGTTTGCGTCTTGTGTTCATGTATATTTATGCTCGTCTTTATTCATATGTTTAGGTTAGGTGAATGTGCAGGTGCCAAGTGCGTGTGACTGGTTTGGTTTAGCTGTTTTAAAGAAGGAAAATCTTTAATTGTGTTTTGATCTTAACTTGACTGATTTTTACAGACAAGCGCACCGATAACTGGAGTTAATGCTGCTGCAACGAATGTAATTCTCTTTGCCGAAGTCACCCATGGCAGTAACCCCATCGTTGGAGCTCAAGTTAGGTCAGATATATTTCCTTAACCTTTCAAAAGACTCAGGAAATAGACAAATGAACACATATGGATTTAATAAGTTATATTTTTTTATCTATTGCTCAAAATCTTCCCCCAAAGTTTCAGAATTAATTTATGTGTTGTAGGAAAGCTTAACAAAATGGATGAACGTGAGCATGTAATAATATTGTAATTTAGTATATATATAACTATATTTGAATGGGCATCTTTTACAATACAGAGTGGTTGAGCATCTTCCGTCAACCTCTTTAAAACCTAATAATTATGTTATTAAAAAAAATACAAATAGTTCGTGATTAATTAACTCCCGATAATAATTGTGTTTCTCTGGAAGTACAGCTAAGGAAAAAAGTCCTGTCAGTTCTCCGTACCCATTCATGAACCTGTGAATCCCAGACATCACAAATTGTTGGATTTATAGATGGCGTAATGAGTTATGTCCCGGATTCACAGGTTCACGAGTCACGGGGATTATGAATGGACACGGGAAACTGACAGGCCTTTTTTCCGTGGCTGTGCATTAATTTTCTTCACTATTGAGTAACATTTAAGTACTGTACTGTATAAGGAAATTTGTGGAACAGTAACGAAATTCACTCTTTTATTCAGGGGCACAATCGATCACCCTGATGATGGTCACGCTGCGCCCAACGTTTATATTCTCAAAGATGACGGAAAATTTGCAGACTCTGTGAAGAATGACGGTATCTACAGTGCCTACATGACCAATTTCTCTGTCACATCTCGCTATGGCTACAGAGCTGAAGTAAGTCTTTCAGTATCCATTATCTAGTGTACGTGCAAAATCCCCCTCAATCACGAAAGTCTTGGTTTATATATTGTTGAATCAGTCTTAAGCAATTATTGATGTGGCAGTTGATAAAGACATGTTAGAAGTAAAGAGTTAATAGTGTAATTATTATTTTGACAAGCATAATGAGACTAAGGTGTGGTGTAAGGTGATTCACTCCCTCCTGCCACTCTTCTCTCCATAGGGAAATTCTTTTGTAACATATAATCTCTTTAAGAAAAGGAATATTTGCTCTTGCTTGTTGCAGTAAAGTCATATGATTGAAATTTGATGGTATGATAAACTTATGCAACATTTTGACCAACATTTGATATTCTTAAATTTGTCCAAACTGAACTACATTATTTATTTGTGTAGGTGGTGAAGAACGAAGCTTTCCAGAGTGGCAACACAATGGAACAACAGCACCCACTTAACCCAGAAGGTGTGGCAACAGACCCCACTGTATAAACCTGTCAGTCTTATCATGTATCTTATTTCTTCAATTGTTTTCAAATTACATTATTCAATTGATGTATACAGTACTTTTTTATGCCAGATGAAATGATTTACTCCTATCTCGTTTATGAGTTGTAAAGTGTGTTTCTCATACGGTGCTGTGAGGTGTGTTTCTTGTTCAGTCTTATATAAGGAGTGTGTGTTGTTATATTATTACAGATTACCTCGACTGGTCTTGTGCAACTTGCATGCCCACAAGCTCTCCGAACCCCACCGTCACTAACTTCACCAGAGAAGGAAGCGCGGGGTCCTTCAAGGTGTGTATCCCGATCTTATTAATATTTGTCTGAGTGATTTATGTCCACATGCATCTTTACGTTAATACCTACTGTACATATGTGTGGGTTTTTTCGTATGAAACTGTTTGTATGTCTCACTGTCTGGCTGTATTTGTTTGATTTGTTTAAGCATCGTGTATGTGTGCATGTCAAATGCGAATTATTTGTATATATGTGTGCAGTGTATGAATTTGTATCAATGTACATGTTTTCGTGTAAGTACTGTCTGTATTTAAGCAGGTGTATTTGAATGTGCGTGCGAGTTTATGTAAGTGCATATCTTTACTTTAATGTTTGAATGTGGTGTAATGGTCAGCATGCTCGCCTCGCAAACGAGCGGACCCGGGTTCGATCCTCGGGCAGAGTGAAACTATGAGCAAGTTTCTTTACGCCATTTGCCTCTGTCTACCCAGCAGTAATTGGGAACCTGGATGTTAATCTATTTGCGGATCGTGTTCCGGGGTAATGGTTAGCTGGTGCAGTTGGCGAGTTGTCCGGTCTTCTCGGACTTGGGGTGTGGTTGTTGTGTTGGCGACAGCTTCTACACATTAAACACATTCACGCCTAGGTGACCCTTGGGCCGGCCATCCTCGTTACACGAGGGGCAACCATTATATATTTGTATGTGTGTCTGCATCTATGGCAACATGGGTCTGTAAGTATATGTGTTAGTGTCTGGGTATTATATATCTGTGTATGGATGTCATCTAAAAATGTGTGTGCATATACAGTTTGTATGGGACTGTAATTGACTGTGTTTGTATATCAGTTTGTTTCTGCCTATGCACAGGCGTGTATGTATGAATGTGCGTGCCTGTCAATATCTACTTTTAATATGACGCCTTATTCTCTTGAGTACGGTGGTAAAGTAATCAGGGGGTTAAGTTATCGTACAGTACTCAAGGGGTTAAGCCATCGTACTCGAGTGGTAAAGTTATCTACTGAAGGGTCTAACGTTTAAGCTAATGTACTCATGAGATCAAGTCCTCACACTCAAGGACTTAATTTTAATGACGTTTATGTTTAGGTAAAGAGAGTGCCGCGAGAGGGGGCAGATATCTTGCCACCAGCGAGGGTAATGGACTTGCAGGTGGAGTCTACGATCCGGAACAATAAAGGTACCTCCATCAAGCTTACCTGGACTGCACCTGGAGATGACATGGACCAAGGGACAGGTATAAGACTATCTTTAGTATGTTTCAATTCTAACGTTAAAAAGGTTCTCCAGGTACAATGACGGCTAATTTCACTATGAATTAAGACGCACTTGGTATTATTTGACACACACACCTCTGCTATTTGTATGGACACACATTCTTAAGTTTATTGCCTTTTTTTATATTCCCTGAATGAATCATATTAACAGCAAGATGTCTGGAAACACTTCAAATAACACTGTATTGTTTAGGGTGACATCACACACCAGGACCATCTAGCATACGGTGTAGAGTAGGTTCATCACACACTTTGCGTAGTGTTACAAAACTCCAGCCAATAAATCAACACGTTTTAATATTCTTTTTCTTTTTGCAGTGTCCAATTACCAGTTTCAAATGAGCACAAACAGAGAGGATCTTTCAGAGGCTCACTTCGACCCAGCTTCACCAGAAACACTTCTTCCTGTTTTCATACAAGACCTTGAAGATGCCAATGTCCTAATTGAGAGTGGTAATAACGTCACCTTCAATATAATGTCCAACAAACAGCTTGAGTTTGAGCAAGTATATTTTGTGGGGTTACGAGCAGTGGACGACTCCGACAACGAAAGGCTAGTATCATGTTTCTTTCTTTTCAAAATCTGATTTTTTTTTTCAGTGAAACATCAGTCAGTTCATAAATAATGTGTGTGTGTGTGTGTGTGTGTGTGTGTGTGTGTGTGTGCGACATCCGGACTCCGCCCCAGTTTTCAGTCTTGGGTATCTCGTATTCATGAAGCGCCTCCAGTAATATCTCTTTCCTGTTTACTTTCTTCTCTCGTGAGTTCTGTTCTTTTGTCAGCATTGTCATTATCAATTCAGTCTCCCTAACAATGATAATTCGTACTTTGATTTGTCATCTCACAGACAATTAACCAAATTTTTTCAAGTAACTTGGAGTTAAGAAATTAGTTTTGTTTTAAGCCGTCCATACAGCAGTAGTTGATACAAGTGCGGGAAGAACATGGTATAGGCGTCAGCTACCTCTCAGAACTGAATATTTTTCGGCACTTCAGTTGATAGTATCTACCTACTAAAGCTAAACGGGACAAGTGAGCAACGTCAGGGTTAAGTGGGTCTCTTGTTGTTTATCGGAATATTTGTAGTGGTCAAGGTGTAAAGTGTGAGTGTCAGTCATGACTCATCAACTTCTTACCTGTAGATACGAGTAGAATATTTGTCTTGAGCTCATGTTGTCTTCACCGCCCAGGGATTCAATATAATACCTTTGGTGTCTTACAGGTGGGGTATCCCTTGGTATATAACGCGATAATATGAGTCTTTCTTCAACAGTGAAGTGTCCAACATTGTCCAGTTCACCTTTGAGCAGAAACTGCCCTTTTCTCAGTCGAATCTGAAAGTGATCCAACATTTGAGAGATGCCATTCAACGTAATCAACACAAATGAGACACCATGCTTAAGTTGTAGAGGAAGAAGCATTAGTTGTCCAGAAGGTAAGTATTATGAAGGTATACAGAGCAACATGGAAAGTACATTCTAGAAATAAGTGAAGAAGAATTTTAGTTTATATACTCGGGCAATGAAAAACCCCCCACATAAATGAGGTGAAAGTCTTCTTGTAAACCAGAAATTGGGGACTTGTGTTAAGAAATAATGGCTAGTGTTAGACACAGTTCCGTTAGTCAAGCTTCATGTTTTAAACCCATGGACTAGACTAGCAAATTTGTGTACCAATAAATGACAGTAAATAAAAGCTCCTAGAAAAGTTTTACATTATAGAAGCCAAAAGAAACTGTGAAGCTTAATGAATGTTTGATTACAATTGGGAAAGAAGCACCAGACGTAGGACCACATGGCTGGGTTATAAAAATGAAGGAGGAGAAACGTCAATTGAGTTTGGTAGGGAGATCAAGATTATTATTGCATATTCCTTTAGCATCTCAATACAGGGAAATTATCACAAATAAGGAAATTATATGGATAGGGGGTAGGTTATTTGCTGGATTAAAATATGCAAAGATAGTCTCCCATTTGATTATTTTTATTATAGTTTTTTATCACCACTTTCTAGTTCTATTACTTTAAGATTTAGATCATTTCATTATTATTTTGACATTAAGTTGATTTTAATTTCTTTGCATTTGTGTCAACCGGTGTCATTAGTTCAGATCTACTTACTTAACTTTTTGTGAGTTAAGGGATATCTTGTGAAGTACAGTTTGATTTGCAAATTTTGAGAAGCGATGATTTGTATTGTCAATTTGATTATGCTAATTAAGTTAAGATAATTCTAGCTAGGATTAGGAATGAAAATTTATGAAATATTTGTAAACAACTCACAAATTTTCATATAAGTGATCAGTTGCCATGTTTTTAAAGTAAATTATGTTATGTTTTAGATAAAATATGTTTGAAAAATCAGCTTAGACAATCATTACCCACCATAACACCCGAGACGTGTTGCCTCTAAAGTCACGAGTGCCTGGGAGGGCTGACCAGTAAGAGTGCTTTAGGCCTGAGCCAATAACAAGAACCTGTGCGACGTGACGTTAAGAGTGCGTGGCGTTCCTTACAGTCCTTCTTTGTTTCAGAAAATCTGTGTATGGAGGGGTGTTAAAGTGAAGACGTGTTGTGGGTCGGCAGAATCAACATGGCGGAATGTGTGCCTTGTGTAGGTTATTGCTATGAAATGTAATTGTTAATAAAAGATTTTGGGGTGTGCCCAATTAAAAAAAAAAACTAATATAACTGTTCAATAAATACAGTAACAGCTAAGAAGAGTCATAATTCATCCCTCCACTTACTGAGTCTATTTGATTGAAAAGAAGTAAGTGAAAATACCCATTGAGTGATCAATAACCAAGTGAATATTAAGTATGAACCTGACTGTATAAATACTGTATCATAAATGTTTTCAAGATATGTAGTCAGAAGGACCTATTCCTTCATAAACGGCTCCCTCCCTACCTACCCTCTAGCATATCTCGGGGACCAGACGGGGTGACAGTACTCCAAATGGGGAAGCATTTCACTCTTGAAGATTGTTACGAAGGACGGACTTTCTAGATATCCGAAGGACCTTCTTATAAGACCTACTAGATTAGCTGCTTGATTCACCTTCTCACAATGGCCCAAGAACTTCAGTTTATTGTTAAAACACACACACACACACACACACACACACACACACAGGTCCTTTTCACATTAAGTCTGTATTAATGCAGGGTGATGATGCTAACCTGTGTAACCTGTCACTTTATACACACCTCCTACTAGATGTAATCTCAGTGTACCAAGATTCGTGTTCATTCGTGCTCTATTGCCAGGATATTATCATTTAAAAATCACTTAGCTGTCCTGCTGGTATTGACCTCGTTAGCACCCTCATTCTACCAGTGTTGCGGTCTAGGAAATTTTATTCCTCCGTTATATTTTTCTTTCTTTCCCCAGTTTTCCTCCACGGGTTGTAGTATCAGTACGTTCTCCTTTATAGTACTCCTCGCCACACTAGATCTTCTTATCAATGGTGGATCATATGCACAAACACAGTTCTTTAGAGACCTTGCATATAATTAAAGTAAAAACAGTTATAATGTGCGGGCTACTTAACGAGTACACTAGGGCATGAACAGTTTCAGGAGGTTCAGAAGTTTTATCATGAAACATTTTGTATTTCATAATGTTAGTGTTATGTTATTTGTCTTATTAGAAAACTCTCCTTACCGGTTATAATGATTATTGAATGTAAATAAACCAGTCATCCTTATGTCAGTTTTATATCCTTATATTTTGTCTTTCCTAATTATGCATAAGTAGGTAATTTTCTCCCCAATTTTCTCACATTTGACATGACGTTAAAATCGTCTTTATTGAGACAGGTGAAATTGTCGTCACCTAATATTACTGGAGTTTCTTATTTCCATACATTTTAAAAGGGACATTTATGTGCTACTTCAATTGTATAAGATTTATCAGGTGTTCTAACTGCGATAAATTACACCAGGAATTACAAAATATCATTTAAATTATTTTGTTAACTAAATGTTTGTGAAATATCAATAAACTTCTAAAACATTGTATATAAAGGTAATATCAATACTGTATACTAAAAAGTAGCACAGGTATGCCTAACTTTGAGATTAATGAAAAATTAATTTACCTGCGAAATACATCAGACGAATTTCTACCACTGAAGAAATTTTCAACCACAACTCACTCCAGTTTATTTCACCTGAAGAATAACCCAGCCAACCCTAACCTAACCTAGCCCAGCTAACCCTAACCTATCCTATCCTAACCTAACCTAACCCAGGTCGCGTTAGAATGATTCATCTTCAGGTGAAATAAGCTGGGGTTTCTAATCTTCAGGTGATCCATATTTCCTAAAAGTTATAAATTTCAATACTTTAATCTTAAAACTAAAAATCACTTGAAAACAATAAACCTGGGATAAAAATGTTGTGTTCACCTAATCAGTAAGAAGACCTACAACTCCGGCAGGTAATGAGTGTGTGTTTGACTGTTGTGAATCAGAGTAACGAGCTGTCAGACAAACCTTTTGTAATGGTCGTGTTGTTGTATCGCTTTAATCAGTATTTTACACGAGGTTATTTTTTGTTTGTTTGGGAACTTAAGAAACACGACAATGGCTAGCTTGGAATCTTGGCTCAAAACGGTGATGATTATTTTTTAAGTAAATTTTAAAATGTAAATATTTTCTTAGCTCATTTTCTTTGTCTTATAAATTAATTATAGATTGCAAGGGAAAAGTGAAAGTCGGTCTCATAGGTATGACACTGTATACTAAGCCTTCGATGCACAAGGAGGCAGCATGACCAGTACTGCTCTCGACCATTTACAGCTGGGTGAACTGGGAGAACCTGGGAATCGAACCATCGACCCCTGTAACAGGAGGTGAGCACTGTTTCCACTATCGCCGCACTCCTAAAGTGTTATATGAAGTGAATGTAAACAAGTTTCACCTCTGGGTGGTAGTCAGGCAGAGGTGAAAATTGTTTACATTGATTTACTTGTGTGTGTTACTGGTTGTGATAGATTAAGTGAATAACGAGACCCTCACGACCACACACAGGAGACATCAAGGACACGTAGCTCAAGAGCACAATATAGAAAATTACAGCTGAAACCATTGGCCTTAAGTGGTTAATAGATTGTATTAGAAACAAAGTGGAGACGATAGGACTACTGTTTTTGGAACCTATATGTGCATAGAGGGTTCAGGTATACAAACAATATAGGCCTACATAGACAGTGGAAGTACACAAATAATGTTAAAATGTTAAACAATGACAAATCGACCATGGGTGACTGCACAGTAGGATCTTTTGTTTAAAGGTGACGGGTGCCAGTGTTTAAAGGTGACGGGTGCCAGTGACAGGGTGGGGGGTGACGGGTGCCAGTGACAGGGTGGGGGGTGACGGGTGCCAGTGACAGTGGTGACAGGGGGGGGGGTGACGGGTACAAGTGGCAGTGACGGGTACAAATGGGGTAAGTGAAGTACTCAGCAACTCAACTAATCGACAAAGACCTGTGGGGTACTTAAAGGGAGGAACTAATCACAATAACAGATACACAACACTTGAGAGTAGTGAGGGAGTGAGTGAGGGAAGGAGAGCTGGTAGTAGAAAGCATTAGACGTAGAGAAAGTAGAGTAGAAAAATGAATGAGTGAAAAGAGAATGTAATTAGAGTAAACAAATTATGAGTGAAAGAGAAAAAAGATAATGTGAATATATAAAGTAATGCTCCCGGAGTAGATAACACGTAGAGTAAGATATAAAGTAAGGTATACATATACTTAACACAGGTAGATAAGATAAATACATATATAACCTACAAAGAGATAAATTAATACAGCTTCATAACCAAAGATATGAATAAAGATAATAGTGTTACTTGCTGTCACAACCTACAGTAAGAGAGACAACAGTACATGAACGAAATTGTTTCTCTTAGGTTTTCAAAGCACATATTAGTTTCCTTAAGATCACAAAAGATGTTCACAGCTCTCATCAGACACGTATGGCACTGACAAATAAGATCAGATTGGTTTTATAATGACTTTAACCCGCCACCATCACAGGAATATAGACTTAATACATTAATTATATTGACTTGTTTACATACATGCAAATAACAACGGCAATGATAATTTTATTAGCAAATGAAACTGGCCAGAAAAAAATAATCAAGCCAAGGATAGCAAAAACACCTTCGAGCGAACAGTACAAACGACACTTACCGGCCCACAGTTGTTGCCTGACTGACTGAACTCACGGAGCCTCCAACACAGGTGAACTCCGGTACACCGTGGACCAAGGAGGATTATGTAGGGGAACTAGTTCTTCTATAGACTCCCAGTTGATCGCTAGTAATGAACAAGCTCCCCTGCAGATGTCCCCACCGTCACTGGCACGTCGTCTGTTTGTTCACGTTTGTGACGTGCATAAGCAAACAATGGTCTTATTTACCTTATTTCTGTCTAAAAACTATAATCCGTAAATCATCGGTACGAGTTGGGCAAAAATGCAATCATATATATTGTATTTAACCAATGGATGCTAAGAATAAAAAACGTATATGGCTTATGAAAGGAGTCTACGCTAAAGACAATGTCATTCTTTAGACACCTTCACGTTTTCTATGATGAGGAAACTAGATGCCGTAAATAGTTAAAATAGTTATGGTAAAATTGCAATTCGTTTTCTTAAGGTTCCGTGGACGTTTTCTACGATAAGGGAGGTTCTCGAGAAATGGCACAGCAGTACGGGGCCGACCATTAATTAAATGCTGTACTAGTTCCTTTACATTAGTATATCTTCTTTGACGTGAACTTGTGTGTTGACGTGTCACATCTGTAGCTCAGTGAAACAATGTCTTATTACCCCGATACCATTATCATAAAAGTGAATATTCGAGGCATCACTGATACCAGCACGTCTGGGAACAAATCTTCGACCCCTGAATAAATTTAAGCCTGATGCATAAATTCCTCAGAACGTAGAAATATATTTTCAGTTATCTTTACAGGTAAAACCATAGCGGATTCATTTAGAAATTACCCATGTATCATAATTATTAGATACGTTTTTTTTTTAGTAAAGGAATTCTCATGTAAGAATGCAGAGTCGTGTGATCTCATAATATAAATCTACCCCTGGCTTGTGTAATTATTATCTTAGTTTTTAGCCAGAGTTCAGAGGAATTTTTTTTCAGAAAATCCAATTTGTCGTAATTTTTGGGTCGGTCGCTGCCTGACCCTACCCCTTAATAAGAATACCAAAAGCAGTACATCATTCATCCACAGATATGTTAAATGAGAGAAAAAGAATATTGACAGAGACAATCTCATTCAATGTGTATAATAAATACTGCCCACACACACTGTATAACTGAAGCAAGTCATCAACCATGTTCACCACAAGTAACTCCAAGGGTTAGTGTTTTATTATTATTATTATTTTTTTTTTTGTAAAGTATTGCATTTTACTGAGTATAGTTTTCTAGACTATGCCGTACTGTATCATGTCATCAAACACTGAGAGGAGCCGAGGAAGAAAGGGTGGGTTGTCTCGGAGTTGTCTTATGAGTCTCTCCCTGCGTAACTTAAGGAACTTGTTCATACCGTCATCGCTAAACTTGCCCAGGATCACGGTATCTCTCTCATCGTTTACCACCAAGGGTAAAATCAACATGGCCATGAGAAATCCAAACACGTTCTTTTTGTGATACTCCTGACGAAGGTCCTCAACGGTAAATGGTACGGGTGTTCCGGCTCCCTCCACCACCTTCTTGAAGGCGTTGTAATACGTCCCTAAGAAGGACAGTAGGTTATCCTTCCTGGTGGGGCCGTCAAGGCTGGTGTACAGGAAGAAATTGAGGTCGATGGCTGGTGAGGCCCGACGCCACTCCTGGAAATCCAATAACCTCACTTCTGCTGGGACACCTTCCTCGTACCTGCAACACACGTGCTATGCTTTGAATGTTGTAAGGGTTTATTACAAGTTAAATCTTCATCTTAATATGTTTTAAATTTACTTTATGCCTGTATAAGCACCAACAACTATTCGCTTACATCACATTATAAAATATAGTGTTTGTAAAGTGTTTAATAATTAATTTATGCAAACAATATTTATCGGGGCCTTAACAAATAGTGGCCAGGTGTATGATAACCCCTAGGTGAGAAGGGTTAGCTTAGCCTGGTGCCTTTATCTTGATGCCTTTAGTTAAGATAGAAAGAAAAGTTTGTGTTGCAGATATATAGAGAAAAGAGAATTGCCACGATGTGATATAACGTGAGTTCTGAACATTGAGATGTCCTCACATGTGTTATGAGAATATTGCATCATGTGTTCGTGTTTTTCACTATTTTCATCAGACTCTTTGTTTATCTCATAACGTTTTACACAAATTTGGATATTTCTTTTAGTTTAGACACCTCTGTGAACACCATAGACAGCATCCTACAATAAGTATAAGCTTGCCTGGCCGTTGGGATAAGTTCGCGTCACCCCGTGTCAGTTGCATCACTAAGTGAGTCAAGTTCTTACCTGAATAACATGTTGTTGCTCCAACAGTCACCATGACACACCACGTCAAAGGGTGGAATCGCCCCCAGCTGCTTGTTGCACACTTCACTGCTCTTGTTTGCAAAGTCTTCAAGCCAGGCAACGATTTTGTCGTAACCACCTATTTTCCTGGCTATATCTGCCACGATCTTTATGTTTCCGCGACTTAAGTTGCTGTACTGATCATCAGCATTATTAGTGAAGAAATCGGAGTCCTCCTGATGGAGTTTGAACTTAGCCTTAAGAATTTGGGTTGATTTTGCCTGTGCTAAGGTGGATGCTGCATGAAATCTGGCCAGCTCCTCCAGCACTAGGTAAGTGTGTGCCTTATCCATGCTCTTCATGCGGCCAAACATTTTGAAGCCTCCTGAACGTAAGTCTTCCAAAATCATGACTTCTTCACCTTCACCAAAGTGGTTGAAGAAACAAGCAGGTACCTTCAATGGTTCTTGTCCTATGCTGTACAGTTCGACATTAAACAGCGGCACCAGCTCTTGATAGTACTTTGCTTCCTTCTCAAATTTCCTGGTGACGAGGTCGTTGAGGGATGACATTTGCAGACACGGATGATACTTCACCACGTATCTAACTTGCTTCTCACTACCGCCTTCCTCATAGTCCACATTTATACACTTCACGACGCTGGCGTAGTTGTCGCCATCCTTGGTGAAGCTCTCAATCGAACAAGATACCAGATGAGCTCCGGCGCCCTTGTCCGCCCTCAAAGCCTCCTTCACCTGTGCTTCCGTGATGAGCATTCTGTTAGGGCTTGCTTTTTGGTGGTCTCACTGTAAAATATAAATGTTGGTAACAATAAAATACCTGTTTCATGGATCATTAATTTAGATATTACATAGACGCAAATCCTATTTAATGACCCCCCCCCACCCACCCCTTATACATACACAGATCTTATAGAGTCTTCCACCTGGTCGGGAAATACAAGTAAAGGAAGGTACAGTATGAGAAGCAAGTATTTTCCCAGCCATGGTAAATGAATATATAAACCTGGTGGATTATATTGAAGCGTAACCGTGACTATTACTGATTAGCGATAATTTCTACGATCATTTCACCTTTTTGGAGAGTTTATGCAGATTATAAAAAAAATACATATAAATTAATATCTTTACACAAAACCTAACCAGTATGCCTCTGGTTCATCATCACACTCACCACACAGAAGCACCATCATCACACTCACCACACAGAAGCACCATCATCACACTCACCACAGAGAAGCACCATCATCACACTCACCACACAGAGAAGCACCATCATCACACTCACCACACAGAAGCACCATCATCACACTCACCACAGAGAAGCACCATCATCACACTCACCACACCGAGAAGCACCATCATCACACTCACCACACCGAGAAGCCTGGTGGAGCGTCAGCCTGGGGTGGTTGGGTTTACAATAACAAGTTAATTATAAAAGAGACGTAATGTTTAAAATGCTCTAACATCGTAAATTATAACTCTTGTTTAAAGATAATTGTGGACGTGAAATAGACGACTGATGGGTTAAATAGTGTTTAAAAGATCTAAAACAATCTTATACATTAAGCGTGAACAGGACTGCCCAGTATGAGCCAATAGGCCCGCTGCAGTTTCCTCCATTCTTATGTTCCAATGTTCTTATATCAAGAGGAAAGTGATTAACTACTGTGGGGACAAGTGTTGAATTGTTCTAGTGGTATTTATCCAGGTGATGTGTTTTTCCTCTAAAGGATAAGATCAAGGCCATAGAAGTTAAACTGTCAGTACCTGGAAATTATTGACTGAGTGTGTGTGTGACAGCTGACGGGGGCGGCATACTAGAGGTGCGATGAGACTCTCCTCTGTGCAGATACAGGGAGTCGCCTCTGAGCTGAGTAAAATCACCTTTCGTTAACCCCCCCCCCAATAAAAAAAAGAAGAAAAAAAAGAAAAAAGTCACGTCCCTGTAGTGAAGGTCAAAGTTTGATGAAGGCCTGCCTAGTGACGGCACTAGGATCCCGTTTACTATAATATGGAATAAACTGTTGAAATTGAACTATTACAACCAGGCCACGTGATCACCCAACCAAGAACATGTCTCCCACTCGGCTGATTACCTGTAGCATGACTGTTATCCATTCATAGGGTGATCCCAATATACCTGGAGCTGAAGTCATTGTCCTGAATAACATTAATTAAGAGAGCAAGTGGTGGTAAGTGTTCAAAGTCTTCAGATATGACTGGACACACTGAACCTATACTAGTTTGGTGTGTCATCAATGAGACACTTGAGTTTTTACCTAAATTTATTGCAAAATTCATCTCTTCTTCCAGTACTATAGATAAAAAATCATCATCTGTAAATTCACTAAGGTTAGGTTAGGTGAAGTTAGGTTAAGTATAAGTCACGGTTAACAGATGCAGTAGTCGTAATTATCAGTAGTGTCCAGCATTCTACGTCATCTCTTGGTCTGTGTAAGAGATAACGTGGACAATGCTGGTAATTATGACTATCTGCTCACCAAATGGTATCCCTATTTACCTATCGACTTCCCACCTGCCTCGTGATTACAATATATGTTTTTTTTTTAAATATGAAGACAAATATTCGTTTTAACCTTTTAACCTTACACGAGAGAACATTATTCGCAGCTTTACGTTATCTATGCCGAAATACTGTATCTGTATACAAAAATACTTATATTCACACAACATACACACACGTAGTTCTCAGTGTAATTGAATTCCTTTTTTTGGATCATTGAAGTTCCTACGTCACGGTTCTTCCTATAAGTAGGATCAAAGGTCACATTTCAGATAGAGTAATTGATCTAACATACAACGATGATGGTCAAAAGGCCGTCGAAAGTGACCAGAGACTAACGTAACTAGACATGTTCTCTGACCTGCACTGAGTAGATAAATGACCTAGATATTATAGAATGGACATAGATTCTTTGGAGAGAGTACAAAGAAGAATGACAAAAATGATCCATAATATTAGAAACCTTCCATATGAAGAAAGACTGAAAAGCTTAGGCTTACATTCATTAGAGAGGCGTAGAGTTAGGAGAGATATGATAGAGGTGTACAAGTGGGTAAGTGGGATTAACAAGGGTAAAATGGAAGATGTTCTGAAGCTCAGTAATAACGAAATAACTAGAACAAATGGCTTTAAATTAGATAAATTCCGATTCAGGAAGGATATAGGCAAGCACTGGTTTGGTAATAGAGTTGTGGATATGTGGAATAGGCTACCGAGTGCTATAGTAGGATCGGGGACGCTAGGGAGCTTCAAGACGAAGTTGGATAGGCACATGGAAGTGCTGGGATGGGTGTGAAAGGGATCTGCCCTGTATGGGCCAGTCGGCCTCCTGCAGTATCCCACTTTCTTATGTTCTTATGTTCTTATGTATGTGGTACTCTGATAAAAAATTTTTGCTCGCCAGATTCATCCAAGTTTCGGTGATTGCTATGACGTCTACATTCTCGGTACATACAACCGCTCTCAGCAAGTCTATTTTATTTCCAACGCTCCTACTGTTTGTATAGTATACATTTAAACCTACCCTTCCCTGGTCCTGTTTTACCCCTTGTCCTGAGCATCTAATTTTACTTCCCAGGACCTGCTTGTTTTTTGACTCCCACTTTCCCCGACCCCTCTCTACTGGCGAAACCCCCCCTTCAGAGAGTGACAATTTCACGCTCCAGGGATGCAGACAACGTCTTTACCCCCTCACGAGACAAGTGTACTCAGTCGCGACAGTACAGGTAGTCGTTGCCATAGAATCGTTGCCAGTTATCAATGAATGCCCAACCATTGTTTGCACAGTGTTTTTCCAGTCGGCAATTTATAGCAATTGCCCTGGACAGCCATTCACGACCAACCCCTCTTCTAGGCAAGACACCACATACTATAGGGATCCCTCCCCTATCTCTAATCTTCCCCAGCGCCTCCCTATACCTCTTGAAAGGTTCCTCACTCCTAACCTTACCTATGTCGTTTCCTCCCACACTAAGACACACTACTGGATTGGTACCCTCCCCTGACAAAACCCTGTCTAATCTCTCGGCTACATGCCCTATCCCAGCCCCAGGAAAACACACCCTAGTCCTACGTTTCCTATCTCTCGCACAAAAAGCCCTATCTACAAACCTCACCTGGCTGTCCCCAACTACCACGACCTTACCTGTGGGCAGGGTTTGTACAACTGCCCTTTCCTCTCCTTGATCCATACCGTCCTGCCTCTTCTCTTCCTCGCCAGCTTCCTGCAGCACCTGGTAAGGGTTACTGCACTCCACACCCTGGTCAGCTTTCCTGAGCCTGACCCTAGTCCCCTTGGAGACAACCACTCTCCACGCCTGCTCCTCCTTCGCAGGTGTCCTGCTAGGCAGGACACCTACCTGAAGGAGTTCCGTCCTGAGGGCTTCATTTTCCCCCTTTAGAGTGTCAACTTCACTCCTCAACTGCCCCAGCTGCCTTAACAGTGTGGCAAGGAGGTCGTCTTTCCCCACACTCCCCTCCTCTTCCCCCACGACACAACGATCCACGGCGGCCATTTTCCTTGGTCTCTAACGGGAACACTATCGGGCACGACCTTCTCCAAGCTGGGTCAGAGGTCAACTGAGCAGGGTCAGAGGTCAACTGAGCAGGGTCAGAGGTCAACTGAGCTGGGTCAGAGGTCAACTGAGCTGGTTTTCCGATATCCGGGTGGAGTTCGGAGAGTGATAGCGAACCTCAGGGACGGTACACTGTCTATGGTTGAAGTGTTTCTCTGACACACCAGTTATATCCACCACCATTAGTACTACTTACCATCAAAACAAAGTAGGTTGGTGTGTAGCTTATGTCTGTATGTTTGCTGTAACTAAAACAACAAAACGTAAATATCTAGTGAAAAAAAAGTGTAAATGCGGTACACAACGGCACGGTCATTTTGTTGACGTTATGGGTTGATTCACATACGTAATAAGCCAGTTCCCTGCCTTAAACTTCCCCTTCCTTCATGAATAAAGATGATGTTTGTAGAGTATGTTCTATAGTGACTTCTGTGTCCTTGGTGGAGCAGATAACCACTGATAAAGGAAGACACAGCCGTACTTCACGTTCAAGGCTCAGGATATTAAAAGATGTATACAGTAAGTTATACGTTGTTCTCCATCATAAGTTTCTTGTGTAATATTGATGCTCTCTTGGCGTCACATCTCCGTCTTTGGCAACACGGAATCAGCTTACAACAGTGTCAATACCTCACTGACTTGTGTTGTTACCTGCACAACCATAAATGTAATTAGCGTTGGAATATGTCATAGAAAGAGTCTGAATTTCATTTTCTTATAGGATTACCTTTGATGGATTATTTTTAAGTCTGTCCGGTTACCCATGACTTACTTTCATGAAGAGCTGACGCAACCTTCGTCTCTACTTACCTTCCACGAGTTAGTGCTCAAAGTAGAGTGGTTAAAATTTATTTTTCTCTTAATATTCACGAGATCGTTTTGAAATATGATGCAAAAATAAATTAAGTCATTTTCTATCTATAATTTACCTAGACATTTCAGGCGTAACCCACACCTTGTGTCGTGAGAGACCAACAGCTAACCTGAGATTCCTCACAACTGGAAGATCCTTCGAGGATTTGAAGTTTTCCACTACGATTTCTGCACAATGCTTCGTCTTCCAGTTAGGTAGTAGAAGTGTGTCCCTGAATACCTCTCACCGCGCCAGTCAGGCAACAACTGAAACTAGAGACGGGCCGGCAGGGTTGTTGGAATTTCTGAATCTTGTTTACCAACACGCTGATTGGTTCAACTGCTCGCGTTGTGATTAGTTGCGAGTCCATGAAATAAGATTACTATTTTCTATAATATAATGTGTGGTGAGGGGTAACGAAGATCCCAGATACATTAATTATATTAGAGTAGTCCTCATACTCAGTGAATTTCATTGTTCCAGTCATTAGTTTTATAAATTTCTGAATAATAAACACTGCATTATACACCATTCAGAGTGTTATATGAGATCACATTGGAACAGACCGGTGGCTTACTTGTCTTGACTCGATATCGCTTCCTGTGTGACTCAGCAGAATATAATTCTGTTAAAATATCGCTAGTAAAATGTAGGTAAGATAATTAAATACTGTACATCTAAAGTTTATTTATGTGTATTCTACATGGTATTTTAGCCATGAAAAAGCATATTTCCTAAAGTCGGTAATCTACCGACTGTCGGAGAAGTGACGTCACGGCTTACCGACTACGTCATCAATTTACCGATTATAAACAAGAGTCGGAAATTCCGACAGCCCTGCTAGAGACCAAGTTACTACTGTACACTAGGTGTCAAGGTCAGTGGCTCTTTGCGCCAGCCGCCATCGCCACACGCTCAAACGGGCCTTCAGGCCTTCAGTTAAATGTTTTAAATCTCCCTTGTGTAATATCTAGAGTAAAGTTGTCAATGTTAGTTTACATTTACTAGTTGGACAAACGAACAAAAGATAAAACTTAATAAAACATTCCTGATATTAGCAGATGTTTACACTCTAGTGATCAAAACAAAATATCTCACACTATGTAACCAACGGAGACCATTTACAGTAACTCTTGAGTAGTAATAACGCCATTTACACTGAATTTCACCCTCTAGCAGATTTACATATTATGTATTTCGACCAATATGTTAGTGAAGATTCTCCCCCCCCGACCGTTACCATCTTCTCATTCTCAGAAGAAAGGATCAGGTCTGGTTTACGCGGATCTTATTCTTTTAGCTGCAGTATCTTTAAGTCCGTCCACTGCTTGTCCAGTCCCTCATCAAGAGTTGGCCCAGCCAGGGAAAGGCGTAGAGCAGTGTCCTCTCTTGTTTAATTCATATAAAAGTGTTGCCTCTGTTGAAATATATGGTATAACCCTTTCCATTCTAGGTTGTTGTTGTACATATATATATTATACATAAGAGCTCCAACAACACAAAAACATATTGATGTTATAATGCAATACTGCGCTTCTTAGGTCATCAGCGAGTATACTAGATTGATAAAACAATTTTTGTCTTATCACGTCTTTTGTTCTCCTTGTGAAGTCACTTTTGGATTTACTCTCAAGACTATAAGGCCGCAGCTCACACCGTTACCTTTAAATAATGGCTGCGTTAGAACAGAATTCACATTTGGAAGCAAGTAATTAAAACTCTTTTCTCACGGCAAGAATGAGGTCCCCAAGTTATTTAAAGCTGAGTAAATTAAAGCTACACTTCTGAGGTTTTAAAATATTAATAGGTTCATATACCATTATTACTGACACGTTGGATTTCATTTTACTTTAACTTATGGGTCACGGTATTGAAATTTTTCACCATTATTCCAATTCAGATTTGGTTGAACACCATTTATTTAGTGGGAGGAGTTGTATCGTTACCAGGATAGTTCAGATTTCTAAGAACAGGAGAGGAATATAAAAAAAAATAATAATTTCGGGAGAAATCTTGGCTGGGTGTGCAGCCCTAGAAAGCGTTGTAACTCAGACATTAACTTGAGAGGCTGTTTGTTATCTTTAACCATTTTTACACAACTGCAGTGATGTCTAAAACCATTTTCATTCACTAACAAACAAATTAAATAGGTTTTATAGATACAACAGGAGTCTCTCTTTATCCATCATCTCCGGAGTTACAATGACCTCTCTTGGTCTCCTCCGTCAGCAGTCTTCATACTCTTTAGAAGGTGTGACGACTGGAGCACTTGGTCAGATATTAGGGAAACAAACGAAACATTTTTCCTTAGACTGATAAATAAATTCCACAATAAATTTCGATCAGTCGTTGAGAGAGAAGCACTTGGTACCATTGTGTCTTTCTAAAGCGTTACCAATACTCTCTTACTTTTAATTTATCTAATCTTCACCACAAACTCAGGCATACTGCAAGGTGAAGTAGGTAGCTGCCATGGTGTAATGAGTGATGTATTTGTGACTCAAACAATGATCTATGTCTTGTTTTACTGTGAGTAAGTTTACTATGAGTTATTTACATGTGTGCCTCATTCAACAAGGATTGAAAACCTCGTGAGAGAGTCAGCTAATCCTCCTGGTCTTTTCTGTTGACATTATAACACCTATCTAACTATCAGTCAAGAGGTGTAGTTGTCATGTTAGTGGTATCTGACAGACTAACACACAATCAACTATACTCTACCATAAGGAGTAAACATTGAATACTATGAATATGACTCATTTGGACAGAATGAAGTGCGGTAACTAAGGAGTGAGTGCAAGTTGGCAACACGTGTCAGGAGTGAAAATCCAAACATCCGCCCCTGTTCCTTTGGTTATGACACTCCCACTTCAAGTAAAATATATCAACACCACTTAACTATATCTCTAGACCACGAGTCACCAATAACTAACAAACGCCTCCTCTCAGTTAACTTCGCCAGTCTCAAAAAAGTTCAAACATATCAAGAATCATTGTCAATAAATACAGCAAATCATTTTGTATGTAAATTTATTTATTATTGTACCCTGAAATAAAACAATTGATGAGAATATTGATTATGAGCAATTCCACAGTAATATCATCTGTATATATATATATATATATATATATATATATATATATATATATATATATATATATATATATATATATATATATATATATATATATATATATATATATATAATTTCAATCTGATAATACAATATTAAATTTAAGAGTTAATTCAATGATGAAAGTTCAGACTATTGTGTATGTGGCAATACTACTATTTAATCTGCTATACACATTCAAATTATACCTGAAATAAGCGACCCAACAAACTCGGTCAAACTTTACCTGGGGGATTTTGTATCTTTTTCTCTAACATGTAAATATGAAAGTATGATTATTTAGCATTGAATAACATCTATAAAGGTAATTTTCACCAGGTGTAAGAATATTTTAAGTTTGGATACAGAGACAAAACAACCTTCGTCTGATAGCAGCATCAGATCCTCAGCAGCAGTTCATCGGCTGGTCTCAACTATTTCTCATTACACATATGTGAAGTTTGACCGTCAGCCATTACATAAATCATATTAGTACATTCATATACACATACACATTAAACACATTCAAAAGGGCACAAATATAATTATGATGGATTTTGTACAATTATTGAGAAGCAAATTGACCATTTCTGATGTTTACAATAACCAGTTTTTCACATGTATGATGGTGGAACAGACGAGTATAAATATAACATGGGGAGTCTACTATAATAAGAACAGTTACTATGAACGACAAGAAGTAACGTGCAGTATTAAGGTCGTGTGAGTCTCAGGAAGTCTTACCTCACCTAATTACTCGTAGTTTCCGAATCCCCTTTTAATAGATCCTTTTGGTGGGCTCATATATTTGTTTCTACCCGGCACAGATCATCTCAGATAATCATATAATATCCAGAGAAATAGTTTCCAGTGATGGTAACAATACAATTCTCAAGTTTCTTTTGGTTTTAGTTAATAAGGTTTACAATAATATATCCTTGTTACAATATATCGTCATGAGATATTATAAACAGTGTATTTTGTTTTTTCCTTCTGATGTTTTCCTCCTACCTGGTTAAAGCATCATTAATGTATTTCCTACACACAGAAATAAAGATATAAAGCACATCTAGGGTTTATTTTCCTAGCAGTTATGTCACCATCATGGGAAAAAAAAATATTGTTGCCACAGACGAACAAGAACTTAAATAATGATAAACACAGTAGGTTTATTCTCCTTAAAAGTAATTAGGTAGAAGTTTATGAATAAATATAGGTATCAAGAGCTAAAGAGATTTAGGTACAAGTTTATGTAGTCAGTTCCTTGTGTTTTGTTCTTTAATGTTGACTATTATTATCGATAGACTTGCCATCTTTTTTTGCAAGAATTATTTATTACTCCCCAGAAATAAAATGGCCATCAGTGTTATATACAAGCTTAAATAAACTACACGATATCAATAAATATATCTGACAGCAACGACACAAGGCTGAAAAAGTTCACAGTGTATAAAATTCCCATTAAATCATCTTACTTTGGAAATGCTGCCAAAAAACGTAGATAAATATAATAGTATCAAAGTAACTTGCAGTAGAGTTTTATTTTTCTTCAACATTATGAATCTGGTCATTATGAAGCTTACGAGACTTTCCAAAACTTGAATACATTTTGTCGGCTTACGGAACTCTCCAAAACTTGAATACATTTTGTCGTTATGAAATATGCTGACATTGTGTTATTTTCTTGCTCATAATTCGAGGATTTCATTGTAGCCATTACCAGATTATTATTTTTTCCATCTTCGACCAAACCTCCAGTACTAAAGTGGGTTATATGTCAATATTGGTGTCTATGAATACTTTAACTGGGACAAATAACCATCACTTAAGTTCATGTCCTCCCTATCACTGTACATTCTGGGTGCACAGTGATGACTATAAGACTATATTTGTTTTACTTTTGTACATTTGTTCTGGCACTGAATAAGAAAAGCTAATCTGTGCACAACCGCAGTAGATATTAATGATGCGTCATGTATACAGAAGTTTATTTAAGTTACAACAGTGATTGGCGCTGGGACTCTAAAGGACGATTGTTGCTATTGTTACTGCTATATGCTAATAGTAGTAGTAGTAGTAGTAATAATAATAGTAGTAGCAATAGTAGTCAAGTACAGGTAGTAGCAATCATAGTAGTAGATGCTCCAGCGCCATCTACCGCCATGGTAACAATAATAACCTTGTTTAGTGCAGTCGTACAGAGACTAAACCAAAGTACCAACGACTACCACACTCATCAGCCACCAACTGTAATAATTGATGTCCCAGTTAAGGTTTGTGTGAGGAAGCAACACAAACATGTTAACGACGTGCTAAACCCCAAACATAAAGGAAATAAGAATATTACAAACATCTACACAGTCACTGAATAATGATCATCAGATTCATCAGTACAGTATTTGTAGCTCTATATATGCTTCATATTCTAAGACATTCGTAAGTCATAGTTTGGATCGCTGTTCTTGTTTTGTGGGATTTGTAGGAGTGAACATATTACACAAACTACCGACATCGTTTAGGGGGTGGATGACCAAGAGCTGATCACTGGGTCTGCCTCAACCACGGAAGAAGCTCTCAAGCAACACAGTAAATCATCACATCTTCAGGTCAGTTTTTAACACTTCGCAGGTCTTATATCATACCTTTAATACTTTGTAAGTTACAGTACAAGAGAGTCTCGATTTGTCATTGTATGGACACAGTATATATATTTCTTTTAACATTTCCAGCCTTCAAATTTTACACTTATTTACACGAAGTTAAAGCAATCTGCTCTGTAACGAGACTGAGTTTGCTTCAAAACAAAAAGAATTATGCACATTAATTAAACGGGTAATTATCATGATTTAGGTGTATATACAAGGTGATGTTTCCTGTGATGTTTAGTAATAATTTAGTTTTCAAACATTTATATTTCATAGAATCTATACTTACACACAACCCTATCGTATGACTGTTCTAGTGACTGTCTCAAGTGGTGTGAATTCTCCCCTGAAATTTCTTCCTAATAACACTTTTTTTTTAGTTTTGTTTCTATTATTTGTAGTTAATAATCCAGAATTTAGAATCAATACTTTCTATTTATACCTAAACCTTATAATACGATATGCAACATTTACACAATTATTGGTTATGGTGTAACTCATCGTCTCGACGTTTTACCACAGTATCAAAACTACATGATTTTTTTATATATTCTATGAAACGTTTTTCATTAAAAAAATAAATAACTTTATTTTATAAGACATCACTGAACCTGATCTGTTCCAGGATGCTTTTATGCGCTTTCAGTATTGTTGTTTACTGGGTGTGTCTACCTAAGACAACTTGACCCCAGAGTACAGCTCACAGGAAGATGACCTTCACCATCGCTTGTCCTGGATTGTAAGTCATTTTAAAGACAAGTGTTCCTCTACATAAATCACACAGCTAATATACTTACGACATTCTAAGCCTCTACAGGTAACTTCACTTAAGACTTTAAGACTTTTAGCAAAGTTAATATATCTTTTTTTTTAAATGACGGGTCCTATATAAAAGTAAATATATATTTATGTGTGACCTTATTTCATATTTGTGAGGTTTTACCATATATTTATCATCATGTATTTTTGTCCCTTTTTACAGTACATCTTCTCTTATGTCATTGTTGATATCTTCCTTGAGATGGTTCAGGTCATACATCTGATGGTGGTGGTGTAGCGGGGAGGTGGTGGTGGTGGTGCTCTTACAACATCCACACCCGACAGCCGCACCGCTGTTGCTGCTCCAGGAGTTGGAGGCTCGAGCGCCTAGTTTACCATCATGATGCCTTGTCAAGCCCACGTCGTTGGGTCGCAGATGGTGGTTGTTGTACACGGCGTTGTTGATGTTGGGGCAGCTGTGACCTGTGCCCCCCTTCAGCTGAGACTGTTCTCCGCCATTGTAGTTCTGTGTTAAAAAAATAAAATAAATACTGGAAAGTTGAATTATTACCAGGGTACGTCTGACGAGTATCATGCATATATGATCACCAACAGGCCTCCTCTGTCCAGCCCATATATATATTTGAAACCACAAAGAGCAATTTCAAAAAATATATATAGCACAGAGCCATTGAGGATGTCACAGGGTAATTTAGATCACCAGGAGGAGCCAAGACTCGGCCTAAACACAACACAGACTCGTGTGAACTTTAGTCAGCTGTTCCGTTCAGAAGAAAATCATCACACCATTTCTGAACAAGTCACCAATGAGAGAAGGGTGAGGTGGGGTGAGGTGAGGAGGAGTTAGTTTCAAAGGGCAGAGTCGCAATCTTAACCATATAAATATCCCTGTAGATGGGCGAAGACTCAGAGATTTGGAAATTTTAAGAAGACTTGGGAGAATCTGTCTGTGTTCTTGTGTTCCTAGTTAAATAATAATAATAATAATAATAATAACAACAACAGCAACAATACCATTCTATATGAAATAAAACATAACTTATATTAAATAAATAGCATGTAAGATAAAGCTTAACTATATTTACTTGTGTTATTTCTCATTTGTTAAAGTGACCAGTTAAATATTATATGCAATATCCAAAACAGATTACGAGTAAAAGAATCTATAGTTCGATGATTTTGTTCAATTAATTTATCAAGAAATCAGAACAGTTCTAATGCATATGAGACAGAATTCGAGAAACAGTTGTGTTTTACCTTACAAGTGTTATCTGAACCGAAGTCATTCAGGTTATTCTGGCGAAGATCCTTGTTGGAACATGTCATCAAGACTCGTCCGCTGTGTGAAGACGTCATGGAGAACTTATGGTCCAGCCTGTTGAGATACACCATAGTGAGAGGATGATTCTCAATCATATTTATCTCTATTTTGCTCCTATTTTATTTCTTATATAGAGAAGATCAAAGGAACAAGAAAGCTCAAGAAAGAACGACTGGGAGACGATAGGGATGGATGACTGGGTGACGATATGAATGGATGACTGGGTGACGATAGGGATGGATGACTGGGTGACGATATGAATGGATGACTGGGTGACGATAGGGATGGATGACTGGGAGACGATAGGGATGGATGACTGGGTGACGATATGAATGGATGACTGGGTGACGATAGGGATGGATGATGAGTATAGAGAGCAGCAGATAAGGCCAGCTAAAAAACTGATCAATGTCACTAAAACAGAAAGTAATTATGCTTAAAACCTCTTCTAAAACACACACACACACACACACACACACACACACACACACACACACACACACACACACACACATGCTCACCTGTTTCGTTTAATAGAGTTAAATTCCAGTAGTACTGCAGGTTCCGGCCCTGAGCACCCCACCGTAGTCTCCCGTGTGCCACCTGTCATTCCTTTCCAGTTACCTGTGTGTGTGGTGGAGATAAGGTGAGTTAGTAATGAGCCAACACCTGCTACCTGTGTGTAGTGATGAAGTGGCAGGTAAAAACAGTGCAGCTAGGTGTACGAAAGAGATAGAGCTAATGAAAAAATACAAAACAGAAACGAACATAAATAAAAAAAAACGGGAAAGGAAAAGAGACGGATGGACAGAGAAGAAAAAAAGGAAAGAAAGATATAGAAAAAATAGAAAAAGAGGAGATGATAAAATTTAAACATGAACCCAGAAAGGAGGAACTTGTTCATTAGTATTAGTTTCCGTTTACACACTGAAATGTTATTGATACACAAGGCAACATACTCACGACGGTGATATATCCTGCCGGTGGAAGCATGTCTACAGGTCAGGAGAGACACCAGACCTTGGCGGAAGTTGGCGTTGAATCCACAATAGATGATGGGGTTGAGGGCGGAGTTGGAATAGGCGACGAAATAAGCTGCGAATTCCACCTCAGAGAACCATTCGGGCAGCTGTAGTGTGTGGGAAACAGAGGAGAGGAGGATTAATCACCATTTATTTATCCTTAGTCCTCTTCTACCTCTTGTGTAAGGAGGATCATAGAAAACAGGAAAAGAGAAAACCCGAGAAAACTGAGTAATTTGTGACGGGGGACTGATACAAAACAGTTATAGACAGCGATCGGCATAAGAAGCTGAACTAACCTTACGCATATAAAACACTACACACATACAGTTCCTTAATGTATACCCATTCATATATGTGACACACATTCTCGGATATTGAGCACTACCAGTACCAGCTGACACTTGAGCACTACCAGTACCAGCTGACACTTGAGCGCTACCAGGACCAGCTAATCCTTGAGCACGAGACTTACCGAGTTGTCTTGTGAGTGAACCAAACTGCTGTACAGAAGGATGCTCTGAAGGGGAGTCCAGCAGAGCACAAATACCAACAGAACGACTGACACCATCTTAACTACTTTCTTCTTGGTGCGTGTTGCTGTGTTACGTGCTGGAACACAGTGCTCACCTGGCAACTGGGTCATCCACAGCTTCCACACTACAAGGCTGTGAACGAGATGTGGATTATGTCCGGTGGGGGAAAACTGGAAAGGATAAGAACAACTCAGGAGTGAAGTTGGCAAAGATTGTGAGGTTGATAATGTGGAGGAAGTGTGTGTATGTATGTATGTATGTATGTATGTATGTATGTATGTATGTATGTATGTATGTATGTATGAGTATGCCTTTTATAAATACAGGTATTTTCGTCTTTATAAGTTTGTTTATATGTCTGTATGTGCTATTTTGTAAATGGCTATAAGCATGTGTTTTGTATATCGGCAATACTTCCTCACTCAACCTAATTATGCATATTGACCCCAAAATTACAAGTCACATGTCAATTGAGGGCAACTTAACCATTGTCATGACTAAAATATTCAATAAAACCAACATTCACTTTAACATTCGTTATTCTTTACGTGCTGAAGAAGTAAAAGACGATGGTTACACTTCAATAGATGAATGTGTGTTTATACTCACCTGTAGTTGATGAACATGATGCCCACAGGTAGGAAGTAGAAGACGATGGTGAGGATGATGTAGAAGCGTCTCTTAGCGTCGTAGGTGGTGACACAGTGCCCCACCTTAAGGTTGAACTGGACCTCCATAGGCCAGAATTCATCACAGTGCCAGGAGGTGAAGTTAGCCCACTGTAGTATAGAAGACGTGCTTTAGTAACATATACTACTACTACTACTACTACTACTACTACTACTAATAATAATAATAATAATAATAATAATAATAATAATAATATTTTTTTGCAAGAATTTCATCCACTTTCAATAAATTTCTTACACGCTGTTTTGGTGAATGTGTTTTTCAATAGAATCTTGGGATCACTTGAAGAATTTCCAACCCCAGCTTATTTCACCTGAAGATTAACCACCCTAACCTTAACCTCACCCCCCCCCCCCAATAGTGTTAGGTTAGGTTAGGTTAGGTGAAATAAGCGGAGGTGGATTTTTTTCAGGTTCGTGTATAATAAACAAATTATATATATTGTGAATGTAATAATTAAGGAATTTCTCTCCTTCTCACCTGGTAGTTTAATTAACCTGTCAACAGGTACCCTGAGCAAGAAGAATAAGGACTTACAGACCTCATTTATAATAACTACACTTCACCTCACGTCATCTCACATCAGCTCATCTCATCTCCCCTCATCTCACATCACTTCACCTCTGAGTCACCACTTATAGGGAATTTCTATTACTAGGGAGTCTATGTAACCCTCTAAAATGTTCAGGGAATTAGTTGTAATTGCTGTGACTGTCTGCAATTACTGGAAATTTGTATACTATTTTGTTACACACACACACACACACACACACACACACACACACACACACACACACACACACACACACACACACACACTGAAAAAAAACAACAATTAGTAGATAGCACAGTGCACAAATCACCTGAATGCTGTACTGCTCCCGGTAGAAGAGTGGCGGGCAAGCCAACAGAGCTGAGGTGAGCCAAACCACGGCGATGACCCGGTGAGCGCGATCTGGCGAGGTGCGGGCGTGTAGGGGAAACATGACGGCCACGAACCTACCCACGCTGATCACCGTCAACGTTAACACACTGGCCAGTAATGATGTGGCTGCGGGGATGAGAAGGTGGCTATCATCTTCAAGGTTTACACTATACAATAACCCCTTCTCCTCCTCCTCCTCCCCTCTCTCTCCCTTCTGTCTTCCTTATTCTCTCCTCCTATCTCACACTGTTACCAAGCCAGATGAGTCTTGGTGGTGGTGGTGGGAACTTGTGGCTTTGGTGGAAAATTAAATTGAATGTTGATTATGGAGCTGATGGTGAAAGGTTCGGTGGGGAGGAGAGGGGGGGGGGGGCTTTTGTTGGAGAGGATCGAAGCGTCGGAGAAGGAATACATGATAAATACAGGAAAATAAACTGTGACCTCTACTGCTACAGAAGAATATGGATCACATTATGGAACAGACAGTAGTTACGAGTTGGCTTCTGCAATCTTCTAAAAAAGTCTCATTATTTTTTCTGAATTACCAGTATCAGACACACCGGATCTACAGTTTAATTTAAGAAGTTACCTTAATAGTGTGTACACCTTTCTTCACCAAACAACACAGGAATAATCGCATAAAAATCTATTTCCCAGAATTTAAAGCTCAATAAAAAAAAATGTTTTATTCAAAGCACTTCACTGTCTTCTGTCATAATGTGTTTTGTCGGGATCTAAATCACTGAACTTTGTGTCTTTCCGGGAGCAAGCACCATCTACATCATCCTCCGGCTTATACTCGCTGACCTGAGCCATACGAGCTGCGAGTTAAACGACTAAGACGACCATGGCGACATCTTCCTTCTCACCAGTAGAACTCCTTTCGGGGAAAATCTCTCAGACTCTACCCAGAGTCCTAGATGATGGCCATAGGAGGTGAACTTCTCTTCAGGTGAGGCTGTGCACACAGTTCAGTAGATCGTATTACCAGTATACTTGTCTTGGATCACTGCAGCCAAGGAACTGGTGGGTACAGTCCTTCCAGTTTAACTAGGGGGCTCTGCTGGAAGGCAAGACCCCAGCCAGGGTCAGGGAGCCACCTATAGCGATGTCCAAGCAGACTCATTACCCAGACCAGCTCCCACAAAGGCTCACAAGCAGTCCAGCTGAGATAACCCATTATGGTAATAATGTCCACAACCGCTTTATTAACACAACAATAAGAGGATATAGTAAGGTGCTCGTTAACTAATGTCCCCCCCTCTCCCTCACCCACTACAGGTCATCTCCCTTCTTCTTAATCGTCGGGTTAGTATCCAAGTGTCACCACCTGTTGCTTGATAATGGTACTTCTGTATTACCCTCAAGTGACTTGGAATAGTGACGTAATAAACGAAATTATCAAGAATTTCGTCAATGTAACCAATATAACGAAACCCTTTGTGACTTTTCTGTGATATATTTTTCTTCATACATTTCTCATATTTAACCCTAGGGCTAAACTCGGGACAAAATAGTGAGAGGCGACTCTACATAGCACAGTGTAGACAAGTATGGCCGGTACTGCACTCAACAGCCTGTGGAGTTTAGTTCCCATTCACAGCTGGGTGGACAAGTGGTACTGGGACCGAACCAACGACCCCTAGAATACGAGGTGAGTGTTCTATCCAATCGGCCACTTCACCCTAGAATTTATTAGTAACCTATAAAAATAATACTTACATTCGAAATATTATTGATAAAGTCATATGTAAAGAGATGAAATATAAGTTAGAATATTATAAAAATTACCAAGAAAAAAAATGGTACACTATGAAACATATATATCGGAAACTCAAATTTTTGGGGGTTACTTACACCACAAACACTTGAGAGTCGACAATCTACTGGATATGTAAGTGGAAGGCTACAATATTATCCAAACAGTTCTCTGACAGAGGAACGTGACTGAGTTAGCTGTAACATACAACTTTCTGACACTCACCAGACCACAGTCCTGTCAAATAACCTTTTTTTTTCTATTATTTTCATTCGTGTCAAAATTTACATTGATAGAATTGTGTCAGTCTGTGTCTACATGTTCATCAATCTTACTGTTACCTCTTCACCACTAAATAGAAGACAGAAGAAGCTACAGTGTTCATTCTTGGTACACTGTATATAATAATCACTGAGATCTAATATGTCCTTTAGGTCACACGTCCATCACAGCTTTAACAGAGGTATGGAAGGTATCGCTGGTATGGCTTTTGGTATGTTTGGTTAGGTTAGGTTTAGTTGGAATGACTGTTAATTCTTTACACGTTGTTGTAGGATGAACAAGGTGAGTCTCATGTACCCACGCCTTCAGCCCAGTGATGCATGGCAGTGTATCAGTTGAGTGGCGCCATTCCTCTTGGTCTGGCTAGTGTCCCCAGCCTTGGCCAGCCTGGCTTCCTACAGCTCTGCTCTCTCTCTCTCTCTCTCTCTCTCTCTCTCTCTCTCATCCTCTACACCTCTACAGTCACACATGTAACCTCCTCCTCCTCCTCCTCCTCCTCCTCCTCCTCCTCTTCTCTCTATACCATCTTACCTACCTCTGACACACACACACACACACACACACAAACACAGACACCAGCACAAACAAACACACAAACATACACAAGCACAGACACATACAGAGTCAAACACACACAAGCACAGATACAGACACATATAAACAAACACACACACACACACACAGACAGACAGACAGACAGGTTCTCAAGTGTACATACCGATACGCCTTGAGACACCCTCTACCCGGCGCCAGACAATATTGAAGGTCACCGAAAAATAAAATACAAAGACATTTATATATAACTAATTACAATATAAGTATTAATTTATTATTTTGGGATCAATATTCACCCTACAATAAGCAGTCACTCATGGAGGGGGTGAGTGGGAAGTAGAGTAGTAGTGGCGTGGAGAGAGAGGGGGGGGTGGGGGAAGTGAGGTAGTGGCGTGGAGGGGAGAAAGACGGGAGGTGGGGTAGAGTGGCGTGGAGGGGGGAAGGGTGAGTGGTGGTAGAGGTAGTGGCGTGGAGAGGGGAGAGGGAGGAGGGGGTGAGTGGGAAGTAGAGGTGTGAGTGGGTGGAGAGAGAGGAGGGGAGTAGGGATGGGAGGAGGAGGAGGGGGGTGAGGGAGAGAAAGGGGGGAGGGAAGGGAGGTAGCGTGGAGGAAGAGAGGGGGTAGAGGTAGTGGAGGGGAGAGGTGGGTGAGGAGGGTGAGGGGAGGGAAGTAGAGGTAGTGGGTGGAGGGAGAGAGAGGGAGTGGTAGAGGCGTGAGTGGGAAGTAGAGGTAGTGGCGGAGAGAGAGAGGAGGGGGTGAGTGGGGGAGGTAGTGAGGGGAGTAGTGGACAATCAGGATATTCTTCACGCACTCAAATCCTTCACCTCTTCACCACAATGTTGTTCCGTTGTCTTTTGAGGCTCTTCTGTAAACACTTGACCCATGGGTAAAAAAATAAAAAATAAACGGCACTCAGGGGATATCCAATACCATATAGAGATGAGAGAGAGATACACAAATATTTATACAGGTAGGTTTGTATTATTCAGGTGAGGTGGGCTTGCAATATGACACTCTCTCTCTCTCTCTCTCTCTCCTTCCTTACACGTGAAGTATTGTCAGAAGGATAACAAAGGTGGTTATGGCTGCCTACATCATTAGCGTCAGGTGTAAATGTCATTACTGTCGAAGTCGGAACTCATGAACCTCTTATGGATATCAATCAATCAAGGTGTTTTGCCCATATCTGTGTGGCAGTGTGTGTGTGTGTGTGTGTGTGTGTGTGTGTGTGTGTGTGTGTGTGTGTGTGTGTGTGTGTCTTATACCAATCCTCCCATGTTTTGTCACTCTCCGGGGACCACCACAAGATTTAGTTTCATATATTCATCTCATTCTCTACCTTCTCTTGACCTTCGTATCCTATTAATATTTCTGCTATTTATCCTCCTATCTCTAGTATTTTTCCCGTTGCTCAAGTTAATGCTAGTGTTTTTTTTGTCAGTATAAATCATCTTTATCTTTCTACGTAACATCAGATTTTGGAAACATTTAGTCAGCCTTAGTTTTCTTTTATTTCTAAGACATAAGAACATAAGAACATAAGAAAATAAGGAGTCTGCAATAGGCCGGTTGGCCTGTGCATGGCAGCTCCTGTCGAGAGTTACTACCACTCTCTATCCTCCATGAATCTATCCAGCCTCCTTTTGAAACTTTCCAGCGATCCAGCACATACTACAAAGTTGCTAAGCTTGTTCCACTCGTCCACCACCCTATTTGAAATCCAGTTCCTTCCTATCTCCCTCCTGAACCTAAACTTATCCAACTTAAATCCGTTGTTCCGAGTCCTATCCTGCTCGGATATTATAAGAACTTTATCTATATCGCCTTTATTGATTCCTTTCACCCACTTGAATACTTCTATCATATCTCCCCGCACTCTTCGTCTTTCTATGGAATGCAAGTTTAGTTTCTTTAACCTATCCTGATATGGAAGGTTTCTAAGTCCCGGAATCATTTTCGTCATTCTTCGCTGCACCGACTAGTGAATTGATATCCATTCTATAATAAGGGCACCAGAACTGAACCGCATAATCGAGGTGCGGCCTGACTAGCGCAAGATATAGTTGCAATAAGACCTCTGCACTCTTGTTACTTACACTTCTAGATATAAAACCCAATACTCTGTTTGCCTTATTTCGAACATTAACACACTGTTTTATAGGCCGTAGGTCCGGGCTTACAAGTACCCCTAGGTCTCTTTCACAAGTCGACTTCTCTAGGTTGATGTTGTTAGGCTGTATACATTGACAGTATTTGTTCTTCCAATATTAAGTACGCTGCATTTGCTGGTGTTGAATTTCATTTGCCATTTTTCAGACCACCCCTGCAGTATATTTAGATCCTCCTGTAATGCATTTGCATCCTGCCCTGAATTAATCTGCCGCCCTATTTTGGTGTCATCCGCAAACTTGCTTATGTCACTGCTGATCCCAGTATCTAGATCGTTTATGTAGATTATGAACAAGAGTGGGCCTAGTACTGACCCCTGGGGAACTCCACTGGTTACACGACGCCACTCAGATTTGACACCAT